ATTTGCGAAAATGCAAACNGGTTGCAAATTCAAATTAAATACTTGATTGGGTTAAGAAGTTGAATGTTACCAATGAATATTCCCATTCTGAGATAGATGGGATGACCTATGAACTGGTAAATAAATTGATTAAACTATTCATTACTGGTTTGAGTAATGAACTTTAATTATCCTGAGAAAATTAATTACTATTAATGGTAAAGGAGCCTAATTAAGTAATCCCAATATTCTACTATATAAGAACGTCAATCTGAAAGATATTCAGATTGTATTTTAGATAGTAAGTAAAATATATATTTGATATTATTGATTATTGATTATTGAAAAAGATAAAAATGAATACTGAAATGTTCCACTTTAGAGAAATTACTCCAAGAGTTTTTACAATACCTAATTGCATTTACTCAAATCCATATTATTAACTATTTTTTAAGTTTATTTCAAAATTTTGCAAAACTGTTGATTAAATGCGTATTGATTAATGCAATCCTAGGTTCTATTAATGATTGTTCCGAAAATGAAATTAATATTATATGCAGAAAGGTATAACTCTATCTATTGAAGTAAAACCAATTATCTGTGTATTTCCAAATCTGTACCGAGGTCATTTATCTACTTGATTCACATCAATGCAAATTATAGTAACCATTTTATATTTAATACATTTTTAAAATATCAATGATAAACCGAAATTTATTTTCTAATATACAAAAGATAGATAAACCAAATAAACTAAATAATACATAAGAAAACTAAAGTAAATAGTCATACAACTTAGTTAGCAGCTGAAGAGTATTTAGTAACCGCTCTGGTACCTTCAGAAACAGCATGCTTAGCTAATTCACCAGGTAAGATTAATCTAACAGCAGTTTGAATTTCTCTAGCAGAAATAGTAGATTTCTTGTTATAAGCAGCTAACTTGGATGCTTCACCAGCAATTCTTTCGAAAATATCGTTAACAAAAGAGTTCATGATAGACATGGCCTTTTGCGAGATACCAGTATCAGGGTGAGTTTGTTTTAAAACCTTGTAAATGTAAGAAGAGTAAGTTTCCTTTCTGGTCTTAGATCTCTTCTTTGTTCCAGAAGCAGCGGTCTTCTTAGCAGCAGGTTTCTTTTCAGCAGGGGCTTTTGAGGCAGGTTTCTTTTCAGCTTTTGGGGCCATTGTAAATAATATATAATAAGTTGATAGATAGGAAGGAGAAAGAAAAAAAAAGAAAACAGAACAGAGCTGTTGAAAACTACCCACAGGGAATACAATCGCCTTATATAGAAATTGAACTTACCGTTCACCTATGTTTGTTTTGTTTATTTTGCGTGGTTATCATAAACGCGTTGGTGATGTGTGATATGTAAACAAACTATAATTTACGCAGCAATTCTAAAATTTACGCGCGAATGGAGCAATACTGAAAATTTCCCATTTGCCTGTAAAAAATAGCATCTTTGATCAGCCGCCCGTATCAGATGGCTGTTAAGTAAACAAACAGAATTTTGTTAAAGATATATAAATTTACACAATTCATCTTTCAATAGAATAATTGGTAATTTTTCTTCTTGTTAATTAATTAATAATAATAGATACAATGTCTGGTGGTAAAGGTAAAGCCGGTTCTTCTGAAAAAGCTTCAACTTCAAGATCTGCTAAGGCTGGGTTAACTTTCCCAGTCGGTAGAGTTCATAGATTATTAAGAAAAGGTAACTATGCTCAAAGAGTTGGGTCTGGTGCTCCAGTTTACTTAACTTCTGTTTTAGAATATTTAGCAGCTGAAATTTTAGAATTAGCTGGTAACGCTGCTAGAGATAACAAGAAATCTAGAATCATCCCAAGACACTTACAATTGGCCATCAGAAATGATGAAGAATTGAACAAGTTATTAGGTCATGTAACAATTGCACAAGGTGGTGTTTTACCAAATATTCATCAAAACTTATTGCCAAAAAAATCAGCAAAAGGTAAAGCTTCTCAAGAATTATAAGTGAATTAGATTTCATAATGAAGGGTTATATTTCTCTGTGTATTATATAAGTTTATTAATGTATATTATCTAGATGTGGAGTTACATTTTCAATCTCATAGTCTCAATTAAAAGAAGATGAAAATCACGTGTAATTACTACTTATAAAAAGATAACGTCAAAAATATATTTCTGGTTATTTGTTATAACTCAACTTATTAAGATGGCGGTTCAATTAAAGAGTAGTCGTAGCAAGTTTAAAATAACTGCGACTGCAGGTGCAGTTATAGTCGGTAGCTATATTGTTTTGAAGACTTTCCCACATCTAACAGATTCAATTTATAATTACTTAACTGGTAGTGGGGAAGTTGAAGAGGATAATGAACCTATAGAATTGGAGGAAGAAGCTGAAAATCAACAATCGAGAGCTGAGACAACAGTGGGAGAATCAAATAACGAATCTCAAGTCGAAATATCCAAATGGTCTGATAATAGTTTGAAACGTTGGTTGAAAGATGTAAGTATTTTATTCAAATATTATTGTATATTAAAAAGGTAAGGTGGAAAATTTACTAACCATTCAAGAAAGAAATTAATGCTCCACCGAATGCTTCTCATAGTAGTCTTGTTTCCCTTGTTAAGTCAATTAAGGAAACTAATTAATGCAGCTTGAAGCTTTGGTACAGATTATGAGAATTTTACTATAAGTAATGTATCAATATTTACCTATTTATTCTAATCTATTGGAAATCTATTTATTTCTATTCTCAGTCCATACTTGTAAGCCTTTCTCGAATACGCCACGAGTCAAACCTTTTGCCTCATCGATATGAACAAATTCACAATTTATTGAAGTTACGTCTCTATTTCTCAGTTCATCATCGAATAATATGAACCCACCCTTTTCTAAATCATCATGTATTCCTAAGAGCTTTGCCGCCTTAGTTATATGCTTAATTTTAGACCCTTGGCCCCATTGTAAAGAATGAAAGTATTTTATCATAGGTATATCATTTATGTGAAATAGCGATAAAAGCTCCTGCGCTACTCGCGGGGTGGCTGTTCTACTTGCCCCAATAATCGTCACATCTTGTGATTTCAACTCCATTAGTATGTTTTCAACGTCCTTATATAATTTTAACTGCATACCGTATCTATCAACAACTTCTCTTTTTGAGACCGGTTTGAGTGGCATAGATATATGTGTATCACACCAACATGGCCATAACGTATAGTCTAAATCAAAAACGACAGCTGTTGGATACTTGTAGTTCATTTATTGTCTTATCGTAGTTTGATTTAATCTGATAAATTCGTGATTGCCACTCTTTTTATCAGTAATAATTTCCCCCCATCACACGCATTTTCTAATCTTATCCCTTATTTGCAAAGAGGCAAACATAACTTTTTCTTAAATCTAGTTAGCCACTTAAGAAATGGATTCAGAAAACAAGTTAGTAACAATTAAAGTTAGTTACAACAAATTATGCAGTTCGCTGAAAGCTTGTCTTGAAAAATTGATTACTATTGAAAGAGAATCATTTATTCGGATTGATGATAAGGAAAAATTGGTTGCTTTTTTGAGGTCTGATTTCAAGCTTGGGGATTTGAAGGATGTAAAGATATTAAGAAAGTCAAAGAAGCATAAAGACTACATACCATTGGAAACTGATAGTGATTTTAAATCGTTATCTAGAAGTTTGAAGGTTAAGAATCATATCAAACTTCTTATCAATGATTCAACGCCTGCAACTAAATTTTGTCCACCTAACTGTTTCGGGAGTGATTCTGAGAAGAAGAAGACAATTGACTTTGCAAGTTTAGGAAAAGCTTTAGTAGAAGCTTCATTTACCGTGTTGTCTGATTTTAGGGGTGAAGAATGCCAAGCACATACACAACCAAAGACACAGTCAACACAACCACAAACACGGACACAATCAGCAAAAGGAGAGTACGAGACAGAACCTAAAGACGCAACGAGTAACGATTGCGTTCATGAACTTGTTGCCTGTGATTCTTGTAATCCGACTAATTTTGTTCCGATTAAAGGTGTGAGATTCAAATGTTTAATCTGTCCGGATTATGACCTATGTCAAGCATGTGAATCAAAACAGCATGTTGAAGAAAAAAATACTGGCGATCATTTATATACCCATCCAATGATTAAGATAACCAGACCTCTATTGGATAATAGAACTAATTGTCCAAGGGCCTTTTCTAATAGCAATGATATCATATACGATATTCCTTTAAATGGCTGTTCATTGGCTAATAAAGACAAAATTGAATCTATCTTACGTGAAGGTAGCATTGATGATTTCTTTAAAAACGTAGACAAGATTATTGAAGAGTCTGATAGATATAAAATCTTGTCCTCCTTGCTTAAAACTGAAAATATTCAAGATGAAGACGAAAATACTAGATTTGCTATGTTGCAGAGTATAGTTGAATCCTCAAATATTCAAGCGGATATTTCTACAAATAGCAAATTGAATGAAGATTCAGATGATCAAGAAACAAAAACTGCAGATGAGATAGATATGAGAAATTTCAACCTTAATCATGAATCTGAACTGTTAAGTGAATACAACAAGGTTCAAGTTTACACGAAAAGATTTTCTCAAGACGCCAGAGTCATTTCGTTAGTATTATACAATAATTCATCCATTCCCATCTCGGGAGGAGACTTAAAGTTTGAATTTTATGATAGCAATTCGAGCGAAGTAATTTTGGTTAAAAATGTTAGAGCTATTTTATCAGGCGAAAAGAGGAGTTATAATTTAGGTATTTTGACTGAAAAATTCAATAGTTTATCAGGAAGAAGATTGAAAATTTCGACAACAGATGATACAATTATCATGGATGGTAACTATAGTCCAGGGGAGACAACTTCTTTAAATATTATGAATAAGCCAATATTAGCTAATAATCTGGATAATAGATCGGAGAAAGGCTCGATTGAAGTCGTTTTAGTACCTAAATCTAACAGTATGGCCCAAATCATTATCACCAATAAATCCAAAACTCGTCTTGATTGTTCAAATTTGAAATTTAAAGTCATTAATTGTTTTGATCAAGTCGTGTGTAATCTTAGTGTAGTTCATGGCCGCAAGATATTGCCTGAAAGAACAACGAAGTATAATATCGGATTGAGTAATGCTCATCTCAAATATCCCTTTAAGCTACTCATAGTAACTGATTCATTTTTTGCTTCTTGTGATTTAAGTTTGAAGAATTTAAATGGGGTTTTCGAAATAATCCCGAAGGAAGAAAGTCTGGAAGACTTAAGTATTGACGACGGATTATCGGATTCTTTAAAGTTTTGTGATAAAGAAGCTGATTATCCGTCGTCAGATACTGATTCCATCTTGGATGAATCTCAGAAACATGATAAAATTGATAACCACGTGGCTGAATTGTCATCGTCAGGCGATGCAGAGAAGACTGAAATGCAATCAAATAATAGGTCAACTGAGGGTTCAATTCATTTCGTGGTTTTGCCAACTTTACCGAAAGAATCTCTATTAGAATCAAAAAATTTATCGTCTTCTGAATATGATGATGCAAAACCATACTTAGCTCACGAAAATGGTTCTACTGATAATAAAAGTAGGCATACAGTTGATGATGCTAATGATTATGACATAATTAGTATGGGAGAAGAAGAAGAATACGTTGATTCAGATTTTGAAGTATTGTCGCCTGCTATTAGCCATTAGCAGCAGGTGATTATTTTTTAGTATGATTTCTAAATCGCTGAATATTGAGACTTAAGGTTTATTATTATTGTTTTTTTTATACGGGGTCAATTATTGACTTCTTACGTTTATTTATGATTAATGAATAGTTATGAGTGTTATGTATTTATTTTACAGATATAGTTGATATGGATGTGAATATATGTTTTGAATCAAATTTGAGACTCCAGTAGTCGTGTACGCGAAACAGGTAGCTGAAATTGATTTTGAGTTAAAACGTAGAATTGGATTATAATCAGGACATATCTTTATTATCTACTACATAAAGGAATGAAGACGCAATCAAACAAACTGGCAGCTAACAAGGAGACAGCTCCAGAGAGTGAAGGTACGTCTCAAGTTTAGTTGCATCATATTTACATACTTTGGATTATTTTACTAACCGTGTCAAGAACAAAAGTTCAAACAAAAATGTAAGGAGTTAAAGAAAAGGATCACAGAAGTAGAGGAGAGTAACGAAGTTGCTACACTTGCTTTATCTAGAACTAAAATGACCATACGCAGATTGCGTCTTGAATACGCAGTTTTATTGGAAAGGCTAGAGCAACGTGCAATAATGATACCAGATGGTAATACAGAACTCGAGGATATGTCTCCTCCTCCTTCTCCTACAATTTTGGATGAATCATTAAATACAACAAATGCCAAGTTAACGCGTAATGGATTGTCAAAAAGAGGTGGCAAAAAAGCAAAAGGAGTATCAAATACAGCTGGAAACAGTGGAAATAATAATAGCCGTACGCAGCGTATTAGAGATCCGGATTTACCTAAGAGACCGACGAATGCATACTTAATATTCTGTGAAATGGAAAAGGAAAGAATAAAACACGAACTAGAAGAAAGAAACCCTGGTGCAGTTACAGAATTATCTAAGTCTTTAACGGAAGCTTGGAAAAACTTGGATGACGAGAAGCGCAAACCGTATTATAAACTTTATGAAGACGATAGAGACAGATATCAAAGAGAGATGGCTGTTTATAACCAGAAAAAACAAATTGAAGAAGAGCAAAAAGAAACTAAAAAATCAAACAAAAAACAGAAGCTTGATAATGAACATTCCATAGATGAGAATTCAAACTTAACTAAAGAAGAACAGGAGCAAGATAATAATAAGATTGAAAATACTAATAATGATTCATTTGCGATTGATGAACAAAATAACAGTATTGTAGAAGAAAATGAAGAAGACTCAGCCCAACCTAATTCGACTGACAATATGCATATGGATCAGGTCGGAAATACTGACGAATCTTTAATGAATAAAGACGAAAATTAGTTATGTTTTTCGGTTAATATAAAGTAATTTAATTAATATACACTATTCATATTATTTACAATTGTGGCAGTTCTAACTACGTGAACCTGCTCTTTTTACTACGATAATAACCATTGTCATCCTTTTCATGCTTTCTTTTGTCTCTCGATCTTTCATGCTTTTTCATTTTACGTCTTGCAGCAATATCTGGGGCTGTAACTGCCATTTGAGCTCTCTTAGTTTTTCTTTCTCTTCTCCTCAAGTTGACAGCTTGTTTGACCTTGGTATATATATTAGTATACTCAGATGTTCCAAGTTTCTTTTCAATCATTTGCATACATTCCATAGCAAGGTTTACTAATTCACTTTCTTCTTCACTATTGTTAGGGTTTAATTCTGTTAAATTGTATAAGGCTAGCAAAATTTGTTCGGATGCAGCCGGTAACTTTTCAAGAGAAAGAACTTGAACTAACATAGCAGTGAATTGGACCGACGATTTTTTTGATATAAATGAATCCTTATAATTATTTTCTTGTCTTATGATAGAACAGACCCTAGAAACAAGGTAATCTGTTGCATATTTATATTTTGTAGATTCTCCAACGTCAGTCTCGGACGACGGTTTGTACTGATACAAGACTTTATTAGACTCCCATCTCATTGTTATTAAAACCAAATTTTTTGTAATTTGAGTACCTAACTCTTGAGAAATTGATGGTGCTCCAAGTTGATGTAACAGCCTATATGCAATTGTCTGAATATCGTAATCGGTAAGTATAAATTCAGAATTATCTAAATTGGATAATAGAATACCAACTAATCGACTTGAAATTAGACGAACCCAAGAATGAGGAAACAAAAGAGAATCCAAAATAGATTTCCAAACTTCCTCATATTGTGATTTAAAAACGGTTTCCTTCAATTTACTACAAATAGTAGAAAATACACTCAACGAAGAATAAACCAATTCCCATTCAATGTTAGTATCATGATCATCATTATTTTTAGAAGCTGATAAAATTTCATGAATATTCAGTAAAGCTAATTGATCCAACAGCTTATTTTCTCCAACGCCAAATTCAGCAATATAGATCTTATAAATACTTAAACCACACCTCTTTAATAATTCGTTCGATGACTGGTTCAACCAAGCATAGCAATATTTTTCGATATTTGATAAGTGCTTTGAACCCGATTTCTTGAATATGTTAGAGATTAGTGTGGTAGCCATCTCACGACATTTTGCTGAATCATCACTTACCACAAGATTAGACAAGGCAATAAAAAAAGAAGTGGATAATTTATTCAATAAGTCTGGTCCAGCCTTTAAAATAATTAAATGTATTAGTTCCATTACGGACTGTCTTCCGGCTTGCGTCGCATACCCTAAATTATTCACTAAGAACTTAAATTGCTTTTCTAATCTTCCTCTTCCTTGATCATATTCCATTAAAAATTGAAAGTAAACGCTTCTTGACATATCCCGAATTTCCTTTGCATGATTGACAACCATTATTTTAGAAACCTTATCCATAGTATCATAAACCTCAGGAATCATTATATGTTGTGAAACAACAGACTTCAAAAAGTTAAAAGCCAAACCTTGTCTATTTGGTTCTTCCAAATCAGGTTGAAGACGTACAAGAATATAGCTGATTGCCGTGTCCTTTAAATTAATCTCCGGCTTATGCCTAATAATTGCCGAAAGAAATTTCAAGCAAGCCTGACATAATTCAGAATTGGTAGATGGACAATCCTTGATCATATTCAAAGATTTTCTTGCACAAGCTTTAAATAAACCATCTATTTGTTCTGAAAATGGCAATCTGATTATTAGAGTTAAAGTACGAAGACAAGCAATTACGACACCTTCATTATCAGATTGTAAACCGTTTTCTAAAAGAGGAATAAACCCTTCAAGATTCTCAGTAGTAAGTAAGGTTTCATGCCGAGAAATCGAGGTTCTTAATAATTCAAAGGCAAACTTTTGCAACGTAAAAATATACTGAGAATGTTCCGTTTGTGTTTTCAATGGTTTAGCATTCAATTTCACCAAAAAATTATCTTCTGATGGTTTAATGGACTTCACGGGACCTTTTCTTTCATTCAATAGTTTGTCAGATTGTTTATGAAGTTCATAACTTAAAACAAGTACATCTCTGGATGAAGCTTCATCGTTGTGATTTAAACCTAAAGCGTACCTTCTCAATAACTCATCTAGCTTATTTTGTGTTTTCAAAGAAACATTTTCTTGTAAAAGAAGTTTGACAGGCTCAACGAGAAAGCTAAAACTCTTCAACGTAATGTTGGCGCATAATAGTTCACCTGAATCGAAACTTTTCTTGAACTTGACTTCCTTCATTTTACTAGTATATCCCTCCGCATCTTTTTCTTGCCCTGCAGCACCGAAAATATCTTCCATAATTATATTTACGATTAATTGTACAGATTCATCCAAATCTCCGTGTTCTAAGACTTCTGAAATTGTGACTAATAAGGAATGGACAGTGAAACTCAATACATGTATTTGAGAACCACGAGATAATGCACCCTTTAATTCATTCAAGATAAATTTGAAGTACTTGGCTCCCAAAATAATAGAAATTTTGCTTAATGCTTTTCGGACTGTATCTCTTAGTTCTTCCGATCTAGAACGCATAACTTGACATGTACTAGTTAATATACCAGGTAATTCAGATTCTATTAAATCATCAGAAACACACATAACTAAGCTTACCATGGCCTCAGATAATGGAATACGAGATACAATTGTCTCATCGTTACGAACTGCCAAGGTCTTCATCAAGGTTGGAAATAACTCTTGTCTAATGTAATTGTTAATTTCATCTTGGGTTTTTGGTAAGTCTCTCATAATGTCTTCAGAAGAGTTTTCTCTACGCGATTCGATAGAAGCCAATAAAGATTTAGATACTGCAACAACCAAATTCACATTATCCTTCAATAAGTCTTCCTTACTATTTTTCATTCCAGTAATATATCTTCTAAGCAATGCCTTAAATTGATTCCAACTTATACATCTAGCCAATGCACTAATGGTATCAACCGTTTCATTCGTAATATTACGAAGTTTTTCATCCAGGCAAAATGAATAATGCTCGATTATTGGCAAAATGTAATGCGAAATACTATTTTCCGATAATTTATTTCTGTATTCGGCGACCCTTTTGATAGCTCTCTGACGACGATGCAATTGGATATGATTTACGTTATTGAAGAAATTTGCTTCTTCATCGTTATTGAATAATAAAACTTTCATATCATCCAACTCGGTAAAATATTTTGCACGTTCAATAGTGTGAGAAAGCACAGAAATATATTCGGTTTGGACGACTTCTGTCGATTTTCTAAGGCCAATACGTATATGGGGTAAAACAACATCCTTGAACATATGTATATGACCTTGGGCTAACTGAGAATTTTCCATTTCTGAAAAACAGTCGATAAATCTGTTTAATGTATAGGTTGCATTCGTTCTAATTGCTAATTCCAATTCATCATTTATGAAATATAAAGCACAATATATTATTGGTAGCCATTGAACTGTAGTCAAATTTGAATACATGACTTCATTAATCTCCTTGAAACTTCCTAATCTCTTTTCAAAATCAGGTTCTTCAATCCGCTTATCTGAATAAGCATTTATACCTTCTAGAAGCTGTGAAACATGTTCTAACTCAACAAATCTATTTCCAATACTCTTGAATACTTTTACTAAAGTTTCTCTAACATTACGATCTGAGTATATCCTGAAAGATTTCGAACAAGCTTGAAACAATGGCCTGATATCATCGAAAGAGCAATCATAAGCATCAATTAAGGAAGATAACGACAATAAGATGAAAACTTTATCCTTTGATTCAACTTGGTTTGGTGGTTTATCCAAGGCCTTAGTTAAGGATTCAATCAACGAGGAACGGGTCGAATTTTCACTTATATAATTACCCTCGATCAACAATAATAAAATGTTAATTGCCTTTGAGTTGATTTCTCGGTTAGTTGTCATATCTAAAATATTTGGTAAGAACTTTAAAAGGGTATTGACCAACAAAGCCAATAGAGTAAAGTAATTATCATCGTCTATACCTCTCTTGCTCAAGGCAGATATCGAAAAGTCCAAAACAACAGAAACAACCGATTCCTTCACATGGTTATTAGTCACTAACGATATAATAGCTTCCACAGGGGCAAATTCATCAATGTACAAGAACTTGACTAGATTTGGTAATTCTATCCAACTTGTCATGAGTCTCATCAAAGATGATGTTTGCTGCAAATTTTCTTCCGTAAATTTGCTTAATCTTGGTCTTATAATTTCTCCATATATAAGGTTGATATAATCGTCCCACTGAAACGTTTCGCCTAATATTTTAAACAAATCACTAAGACATTTCATTCCGAGTTGCCTTATCGCTCTCGCAGACTTTTTTACGACCACATCATAACCTGCACTATCTTCTTCATCTATCACCTTTTGAGCAACAGTCAAAGAGAATACTAATGGTTCTATAGTTGTTCTTAAAACATCATTATATCTGTATCCCAATGTACTGTATACATCATTCAACAAGTTCACAAAACCGCTTATCTTCCTTAAGATTTTGATGTCAATAATCGGTAATTCCTTGGTTTCAAAATAATCTTGATAATTAAGTCTATCAGATCCTAATCTCAAAAATTCAACTATATGTTTATGAGATAAATTAGGTAAAATTCCAACAATAGCAAATTTTCTACCAGCTTTACTATTACTCTTTGGAACACTCTGCGCCCGTCCAAATAGAATGCGTAACACTAATGGCATTAATGAATCTTTATCGCTTTGCTCTATAGTTGAATCGGAATTATTCGAAATGAATTTGGAAAGCTCGTCACGAAATATCGTATCATCTAATAAATTCTTCAAGTTGTCTTTATATTTATTTACAGATCCAACCCTCCAATGGAGTATAACGTCTAACGCCATTTTTTGTACTTGGGTTTGTTTGTTACAGAGTAACTTAAGCATATGCTCGTATAATAAGTCTGCTTTATAAACCTTTTTCAAATTATTGAATTTAGCGAACAAGCAAACCAAGTCATTTCGATCTTTTAGCGTCCATGTGTCTTGATTGATATGTTCGTTCTCAGAGCCATCTTCATTAGTATCACCGATATCATCGTCATCGATTTCATGTAAGACTATCGGTACTAACTTATCAGAGTGCTTTTCAGCAATTGAAGGAACTGAGGTTAATGCATGTATAGCATGTGATCTTAATATAGAGCTATACGTATTGTCCGCTCTTGAGCTTTCAGCATGATCCAAAATCAGACTTCTGATATCATGATATCTACTAAGGAAATTTTGGTCCACGAATACAAAATTTCCTCTTAGCCTAGGGTTTCTGACTTGCCAATCCAATAGGACATTTTCTTCTTCGAATGTCGAAGGATTAAATTCATAATAACTGGCATTTTGTTCTCCATAATTCATTTTTATCAATTGAAAAGCTAATAACCATATAGATAACGAACACTTCTCAACCAAATAGGGCAAGACTTCAAAAACAGAAGCCCAACATGGTTGAAATTTATTAGTTAATAAACCAAACATAAACCGCGAGACAATGTTACATTCGAGATCGGTAGGATTTTCTAGCAGTTTGAACTCAAGCGCTAAATTACGAACTCTTAATTCAATATCTCTTCCAGTGTTCAAAGTTAATGGAATTTCTTCAATTAATCTTACTTGAGAAATTAACAGACAAATTTCCAAGTTTAAGACTTCATGAATTTTAATAAGCAAAAGAATTGCGCTGTAACGAGAATCGTGGCTCGGTAAGGACATGTTAGCTGCCAATTGGAAGACCAAAACGTCGTAGTTATCTTTAATTAGGGGACATATAGTTGATGAGCAAGAGCTGATAAAGTTTTCAATAGATGAGACAAACACAGATGATTCACTAAACTTTCTAAAATTAGATATGATTAGTTCAAATACTCTTAAGGAAATTTCATTATCTTCATTTTCTTTCAATAACAGAGATAATGCATCGACGATACCTCCCACTAAATCATGCGAAAATTTAGAATCGAAAGTAAATTGATCGTCACATAACTGTCTCAATAACATAATTAAACTCCGGCTCTCAGATGCACTCGATCTTCCACAGTATTTTAAAATTAGAAGTTTCCAATATATTCCTGGCAAATCTTCTGGGTTAGATATCTTTTGATAACCATCCCATAATTGGCCAGTAATATGAGCTTGCATATGTTGGGGAATAGTTAAGTCAATTCCGTAAAACTCCTTTTTAGATAATTTTGTCAAGAAAAATCCTAACTTTTGAACTTCGGAATCATTATATGCAATTGAATTTATGAAGTCTTGAATATATTTAGCAATACCAAAATTAAGCACCTTAGTTGCAGATATTTCCAAATTTGCCTCTGCAAAACTCAAGAAATGTTGACCTTTGTTTAACTTTAACATAGTTTCGAAGAAGACCTTGTAATACTTAGTTAATTCTTGAATGTCACAATTACGAATAATAATGACGAGTAGATATGTCAAAGAATCGAAGAATGCGATTGAAAATTGATCGTTTTTCAAAGACTCCGACGAGATTTTCTCTATCAATAAATTAGTAGTTGATAAAATCGGAGACCAAGAAGATATTTTCTTACCTGATTCAGCAAATGACATTGTAGTTAGGATTTGTGAAATCGAGATTGCGAGAGTATCTGTAATAGTTGATTCGTTCAAAATTTGAGTTAAGTAGATTGTGACTAGTTTATAAAATTTGTCACAGCTTTCTACTGTACCATGATTAACAACATCTAATAAAATGTCACAAACAATTGAAATAAATTTTGCTTCAGATAATTTAGTTGACAACGAATTTTCAATTAATTTAGATAATATATTAGTGGACTTAGAATGAAATGAACCCTTGGTATTCTTCATAGATTCTGAAAATAATACAACTAATGACTCGCAGTAGGCGTCATTCTCATGAATTATTTCACTTTGTTGGTTGAAGGAGTATTCAATTACTGCGGTTAAACTATCAACTTTCAGCTTCCTAATCAAGAATGACAAAGCTTCAGCGCAGAACCTTGAGATATAGGTTTTCTTGTTGAGTTGCAATAAAGGAATCAATATTTTAAATGTTGGCAACAAGTCCTCTATTAAGGTTTTAGAAAGATATTTAAATGCAAATGCTAAACTGCTGAAGCACCATTCTAAGACATTAGACGAATTTCTATTATTTTGCGAATCATTAGGATTTGTTGATAATGCAAGATTCGTTAATAATGTCAAGGTTCTCTCATAATATGGCATGAAATCAGGACCTAAATCGTGAATAAACTGTGACAAGCATTCCAATAAAGGCTGAATCGAATTAATATCATTTATCTCAATATGAGCGTATAATGCATCAAATATGGTAACCTGATGATGTAAAATTTGGGGTAATGTCTGGGAAATGTTTTCGATTTTATCTAAGAATTCTGTGAAGTTACCACTTATATTCACTTCTTTCCAGTGTTCCAAAGTAGCTAGGAAATGTGACGATTCAACATAATCGTGAGCTCTCTTGTTCAAGCTCAAGTTTGGCTCAATTTTAATCGAGTCAATTCTTTCCCGGAAAGAAGAAAATGCATGCCTTCTAGACGACTGAGTAGTCTTCCCCTTTGTAACTTTCACCATTGAGAGTCTTGAGATTTCCTTTTACTTAGAATATCATCTCTTCCCTTTGAATATTTAGCTCATCTTAAAAAAAAGTTAGTACTCTCGTGAGGCCACGGGCTGCACAACCGATCATAACACAAAAAATTATGCGATATTCAATTTTATCTGAAGGATGTAGGCCCTTTCGTAATAGATGTCTTAAATAATTCACGACAGTTATAGATGTACAATGTCTGGTGATCATGATGATACAATACCGTTATTATCCGATAGTATTCCAGAGAATCCTATAAGGCTTCCGGAACAAGAGCGACAACGAAAGGATTCAGCGCAATCTACGGTGAGCAAGAATCTGCAAGCAAATAGATCTATTTCCAAGATAAATCAATCGCCAAAAATTGGGCTTCAGAGGACAAGTAGAACAACACAGAAGTTGAAATTATTGCCCGAGGATCCACCTAATTTAGCTGACGAAAACGACGAGGAAGTTTACTCGCAGGTGACCAGGATAAAGGATACACCAGCCCGTAAAGATGCTGAGACATTGGGAAAGCTGCAGCGAGACCTATTGCCGCGTGTTACAGCCTACTGCACTTGCGGGTCGTATAAGATGAAAGACTTATTGAGGTGGTTGAAGGATCGAAAGCGTATTCATAACACAAATCCGAAATTGTTTGATGAGTGTTTGTACACCCCATTTACGTATAAGGATTGGCGAAGTGAGCATGTCAGCCAAGACGACCAGCATCATTTTATAAGGTTGGCAGACGAAGGTGGTGAGATTGACATTGGTAAGAGAAACGATATATTTATCTTTGAGTACGGGGTCATTATCATGTGGGGATACACCCCGAAGGAAGAAGCAGCATTTTTGGAGGATTTGGCCAAATTCGAAAGCGAAAAATTATCAGCAGAGGATATTCAGGTCGAAGAATTCAACTACTACATCACAAAGTCGTATCAGCCCCGTATCTACAATGACTTCATCACAATCAGGGACGACTCAAACTACATGTTGAAACTCTCAATCTCGCACGCCTTGGCACAGTCAGTCAAAATATCTTTATTCGAAGAATTGGTTGACAACACAATCGAAGACACCGAAGACATTCCCCAGCAAATTGCCCAAACCGGAAAAGTCGAAATGACAAAGGACGAAATAATGAAATCCATCGGTGAACTATTCATCCTTCGTATCAACATCAACTTGCATGGCTCCGTCTTGGACTCTCCAGAGTTAATGTGGGCTGAACCTCACTTGGAGCCAATCTACCAGGCTACCAGGGGTTATCTTGAAATTAACCAGAGAGTCGAACTCTTGAACCAGCGACTCGAAGTTATCTCCGATTTGCTACAGATGTTGAAAGAACAGTTGGGCCACTCACATGAAGAAAATTTAGAATTTATTGTCGTAGTTCTTGTTGCCGTTGAAGTGCTAGTTAGTATTATTAACATCATGATAGACATAATAACCTATTAAATGTGCACGTATGGAACGATTGTTTTTTAATGACTATTATATAATCAAATGCATAATTTTTTTAAGTAGAACTTCTGTATTGCGCGTAGAATCATTCCTCTGTTCCATTCCACATGATCTGCACAACTAGAACAAGTGTGCTGGTCCACCCTAATTCGCGGAAGACGCAGCGGGGCCGTCACATGAACTAATTTGAGGCATTACATAATGGTGCTTATCAGCAAGCGAAGTTTTTTAATTGGTTTGCTGTGGCTAAAGTGGCTAAGACGTATAATAAGGTCTGTGGAAAAAACAAATTCTATATTGGGTGACCATTGGTAAAGTATTCGTTTACCTTAAAGTGTTACTTGCCACAAGTGTATATATATAATTTTATTGATCTCCAAAGGTGCATTTTGTAAAAAAAACAGTTGGCATAATACAGAAAGATTATAGACAATTACCAATATATGATAAGCTGTAATAGTTATTGAGAGTCATTGGAAATCAAAAGAAAAAGTAGATCAAGTATAATAATAGTTGAAGGCGAAGACGCATCGATCTTCAGCAAGCATAGCATAACGTAGCGAGAATAGCGTAATTATGGCTGAAAATAAGGGGGAAAATGCTAATTCACTTTCAGATCAAGCGGACAGCAATCAGAGTTTTGGAGATGTAGATGAACGCATACCGAGATTAGTGAGAATATCATCATTGCATCCCAATTATGTGAGACAGAACTTGAGTCTGACAGTCAGTCCTGTGAAACTTTTGCTCGACGAAGACTTGATGTTGATGACGAAGGACTGGAGTCAAATGGAGATGGAAGATGAGAGGAGATTAGTGCTCTTTAAGTTCAAGAGGGAAACACCTACAGATTATTATATCACTTTTGAAACAGTCAGCAAACAAGAGTTTACACACGAACAGCCCATAATTTCTTGTATATTTTGGAAAGAGAAGAACTTGCATATTGCAACGTCCGTTGATATTATATTGATATTGGAATATTTGGTAGAACAAAGCTTTACGATAGAGGAGAAAAATAGAATACGGAGGAATTTGCAGTCCCTAAGACCATACACTGTTTCTCGTTCCAATAAGTCATGCCAGCGGTTTTTTAACGTATTGATGGGTATGGAAGATCCAAGACCCCGGAACATCGAGAAGGACCTTAAGGTATTCAAATGGAGTGATTTGTTCAATGCCTTTAATAAAGTGATATCTAAGTATTCGACGAACATGTCAAAAGATGTTACTCCTCTGGGGGACGGTAGTATTGCTCAGAACAAATCTCTTCCTGCTCTTGGCGATTCAGATATACTTGGGGCGAACGGTGGTGGTATATCTAAGGGTCGTAGTGATGATGGGTTGATTGCAAGTAGTAAGAATAGTGAAATGCCATCATTTTTACCGAATGAAAGATTAAAGATATTGAAAAGGAAAGTTACCCAATCAAGAAACCTGAATCAGTTGAGTATAAATGGAAGGCATAAATTATTTCAACATGCCATTACTCCAGCGGATCCTATCCCAATTAGACACGACAATGATAAAACCAATGGGGATTTCAAGCTCGATAAGGAACAGAGTTTCGATAGCGATAATAGTGAGAAAGTTGGTAAGAACTACACCTATGAAGATATTAGACAAAATGAGGATTGTTACAAACAGAAAGCGAATACTTCTCTCAAAGGACTGGAACCAAAAGTTAAAATGCAAACTTCTATAACAGGAGATGAATTACCGGATAATTTCAGCTCACAATCAGTTTCTGGATCAGAACTAAATTCGAGACTAGGTAGTTATAGCTCAATGCCAGTTTCTATATCCCCGGCTTCTGATTCAACAAATTCCAATGCCATTTCTAATAGTAATATCAATGCAAATAAAAATACCAATACCAATACCACTACTGATCCTAATACTAATACTAATACTAATACTAATACTAATACTAATACTAATACTAATACTCATACTCATACTAATACTAATACTAATACTAATACTAACACTCATACTCATACTCATACTAATATTAATACCAATGCAAATACTACTAATTCAAATGAATCCTCAAGTAGTCATTCTTCGAATGTATTCACTAATGACAGTTCGAGGAGTACACAATTATCTCTGGATGTCCCATATACGAGCAGTATTGGGTCTAATGCAGGAAAGAAAGTGCTGTCGGATCAAATGCTTGACGATAGTAGCAAACCTTTAAGCAACGGTCGAGTAGGACAAGAAAATTATTCGAAAGAATGTCATCGTACTCCTTACTTTCAATATCCGTCACAGTCGCAATTATATAATGATGCTGAGTATAAACCGTTGAGTACTAATAATGTTCGAATCCACGAGGAGAAAACAACAGATGGAAAAATTGACAAGGTGAAACTTCCTCCCATAGAACCTAGCATAAATACATTAAGAGAGAGAGGAATTGATTTACCATCTCTAAAATCGCTGAGTGGCGGCCAATTTCAATTTAATGGTCCATTGCCTGGTCCCAGTGAGATTCAATCAAATATAGAGGAGTATAGAAAGCAACCTAATACTGTTACCCCTAATGTTATTACTCAGCAGGTTGCCAGTGGAACAGAAGGCTCTGTGGTGAATTTGAATCCAATTACTGACTTATTTCGCCCACCCGGCGCCAATAATAGCGCCAATAATAATTTGATTTAATTAATAATTTATTTGATTTATATTTTATATTTCATCAAGAAAAGCTTTGTGTATATATCTATTTCTGTTTCAATGTATTACTTGGTTGATTGGCCATTATTTTACAGAGATTTTTTCTCGATCTTTTGGACGGATTCTCTAAAGTTCGGTGTGCTCTTGAAAACAGCACCTTTCCCTGGTTCAATAGTTACATAATTTAAAAAGTCGGAAGATTTTTGTTCTATGTTAGCCTTGATATTCAGTAAATTAGGTTTTGGAAGCTCGTTAGACGACCTGGAATGCGAGGCAACACTATTGGATTGTAATAATAGGTTTCTAGGACCAATAACTCTTACAAAATCTTCATTCCCAACTAAGAAATTATAAGTCGATTTTTGGGATTTTTTGAAAGAATTGATTATATGACGAGAGTATCCTTTGATGATATTCCAATAATGGGTAATGTTGTTAGCAGGAATGACGTCGTCTTTGTTCAATTGAACTGGTACTTCTTCTCTTGGTCTAATGGTATCTATTTCCGGTTTAGTGATTGGAAAAGAGTATTTAACAATACAATTCTGCAAATCATAGGGTCCATTAACACTAATGCTTAGCAAATTTTTTCTATTAATTAAAACTTCTTCATTCTCCTTTAAATTAATATTATAAATAGCACCGTTCCCAACTAATCCTACCTGACCCCTTCCAGTTAGTAAGGTATATCCTAAGTTATTCCATCTGAATAAACCAGTTTCAGTTGCATTCGTTATTTTCAATGAATTTGCTAAGCTTTTACTGATATTCTTTGGACTTCTGAACATAGAAACATTCAATGTACCGCCCGTGTAGGCTTGTAATGCAGTATTATTTAAAACTGCCCAATCATTCGTTCCGTCTAATAACAAAGTAGCAAACGATTTTTGCCTATTAGCTCTCAACCAAAAGTCCTTCGAGCTTGCAGAAACTAATAAAGAGAATGGAATCGTAGAAATAATCTTCTGATATTTTGAAACGTAGCCACCATAAATAAACTTTTTAAGTGGGTTTATGAATTCAACCAGACCTTTAATTGAATTCACAAATGAATTATCAATGCCATAGATTGACAATAATGAGTTTTTTCTGATATAAATAGGTACGGAAGGCGGCGAATTAATGGCTAACACAGATGCTGGCTGGCCCAAACTCTGAAACTCTGGGTCATTTAAGGCTTTCTGGTTTGGTAGATTATTTCCCTTAATATTTTCAATCTTCGAAGTATTACTAGATTGATTAGGTAATGCTACTGTAGGGGGCTGTGAAATGATCAATGATCTAATAAATTGTAGCTGTTTTGAAGCCATTGCTATGTTGGCTTTCATATTTATTGATACTTGTTTACGGTGTTAGTTTGTTTAAATTGGTTTTCTAAGATCTCAAAATTTATAAAGCACGCTCAATTATCATGGAATCTCGCAATTCATTTTCTAGCGACAATTGATCAGTTATATATAAATAGTAAGTACTAATACGTTTACAGTCAATAATTACATCCAATAAGAATAATTTTATATATATATATGTGATTTATTAAAACTATTATTGAAGTTTTTGTCTTAGGTATATACTCTTACGTTTCCGAATTTTGTTGTAAGGGAACTGGGTCTAAATTAGGTAATTCTTACAACTAACACTTGATATACTATGTAGATTCTACTAATCTAACTTTAACTTGACTTATAGATTGACAACTAACTAATTACTCTCTATTTAGGTCCTAATTCCCTTAGCCTCTATTCTGAGATTTACCGGGATTCTTCTACATATTTATAGTTTTGCAATCGTGGCTGTAATTGCAAGACGTATACTTTGCAACGCGTACTGTACGTATAACACATATATATATGGGCATGTTCTCTTACATTTGTCAGCAGGTGCTCTAGTGGCGCAGAGGTTAGCGCTTCGTGCTTATAGCCGTATTACGACGATTTGGTTATACCATAAGTCACGGTCGTGTGAGGAACGCGACGGTCGTGGGTTCAAACCCCTCCTGGAGCATTTGTCCTTTTTTTTTTTTGTAGCGGCCAAATCAACCTATACGACAACCGAATGCGACTACAAGGGATATAATACTAATAAATATATTAAATGAATTCTCAAAATAGCAAATAATTACTTTTAAAAATCAGTATGAATAAATGCACAGATATAATATAGGAGTTATGGTATCAACATGTGGAAATATAGATCATTTTATTTTTGTTTTAATATTGGTAGTACCATCTTTAATAAATTTCAAAAATCTATCACCATATTCTTTGGCTGGTACCGCCGATATAGTACTTCTTGAATGACCTATCGATCTCCACATAGTTTCTAATCTCTTTTTAATGGAATAGTTAGTCAAGCAATCAATAATACCTAAATAATATATCTCACCTAAAGGCTCATTCAATTCATTCGTGGCCCTAATACCACCATCATGTCCATAGAATATATATTTCAACCTGCCTGGATATAAATTATTCGGAAGATCATTTGCAATATCAATATCTCTGGGATTTGTATTAATCAAATCATATTTATCTGTCGATTTTGGATCGAAGATAGACAATCTTTGAATAGTGTCGGTGTTATTTCCCATCTTGACATCATGAATTCCTAATAAGAGTGAATAATCCATTACATTAATCTTTTGTAACAATTTTACGTCTTTTTCTAGTTGTTCAAAAAATAGTTTTCTCTTTTCTGGACCAAATTTTATTTTATCGTTTCGTTCAAGCCAGTTGAGATCTTTCAAAGTAAAGTTCGCTAAGCTTTGCAGTTTTTCTGGTACTTCGTATTTTCTACCCCATGTTGATCCCTTTAAATCATACTTTACATGAATATCTCTCTGGGAAGGAAACAAGTTATTCATCACTATGAAATGTACCTTTTTTATACCACTTTTATTAAATGGCATCTTAACTCTATGTAAGCCATAAAATTGTGATATCAAAGTATTTGGATTTTCTTTTACGTGCTTATAATAATCCTTCAATATTCTTCTTAATTGTTTATGTTCCCCATGATGAATTGTTTTAATAATAAATCTATAATCTCTCGAATAATAAAAAAAAGAGCCACTTTTACCAGGTGAACCTAACTCAGATAAGATATATTTCCCGGTTACTGAGATAAGATAATCTGCCGGATCTATTCCGAAAATAGATCTCAAACTCCTAAATACTTCAGGACAATAATCTTTAAATTTAAAATCATATTTTGATGATGGAGTTAACTCACTTCCGTCCATGTTGAATGATAACTTCTTTGTTGTTCGAAAGTCTTGATCATCTACATTTTTCATGATACCTGAGCAACGAGATACTGCAACTCTAATCCCGGTCAACATATTGTATGCCATAACGAAATTCTCATGGCCCTCACTAATTTTATTTCCAACAAGAACTTTTTCATCTTCAAGTATGTTTCTTTTCTTTTTCATGTTTCTTTGTACTAGTAGCGAATTTTTCATCCTATTGATCTCTGAACTAGTTGAATCATGAGCATATGTATTTCCGACTGTATCAGTGCTTGTAGCTTTCCTTCTATTATAAGATGGGAATGTACTGCGGGCTATAGGACGCGATGATGGCTTATCTAAAGAACGCCTGAAAGTTAAATCAGCGGAATCTCTCAGAGCCGCGGAATGGGGCGTTGTATGTCTTCTGCCATTATTATACGACAAGGACTCATCTCTCACTGTGCTATGTAATAATTTTTCTGGATTTCTACTAGTCTTATTTCCCTTCACAACGTTGTTTTCGGAAATTGCAGGGTCTATCACTTCTAGAGGATCGACATCAACTGGATGCAAATGCACAATAGTAATCGGCTCATTAGGACCATCGACTAATTCCGTTGGCATTTTATTGTTAATGTCCGTCGTAGTCTTGCGTGCTGGTTTTGGTGTCCTACTTTCCTCCAATGATGACGGCGATGTATCATTGGTAGAATCAGATACTTCAGAATGTGAAGCTTTGTACGACGTAGGAGTCGATGAATCGCGTTGGTTGAGACCACAATTTTGGTTTTTGTTTGACACCTCAAGGCTAGTATTGCGCTTGGCATCCCCATTCATTGCACCCTTGCTCTCGTTCTTCTCTATATTATCGTTAGTCATCGCAATGACAATATTGCTATCCTCGTTAGATGTATTTGACAACCCGTCAGTATTCAAATTGGGTGAAGTTTCGCTCCTTAGTGAAATTGTGCTGTTCGTCATCAATTTACGGGGCGTCTGTCTGATTCGGTATAAATCATAATTTTTATCTCTAAAATTGTTGGTGCTAGTATGTGCTAAATCGTATTGAATCATATAGATATCCAATTTCTATCTTTATTTTTCTCTATTATATCCTAGATTGTAAACGTATTCTATTGTGGTGACATGCAATCGGTTAGCAAGAATCTTTCAAATCGAAGATAGTATATATAATATTAGCAATTTTATAACTCCAATAAGTAATATATGAATTCTTATGCAATACTCTAGTATATATCTTCTTTAATCTATAGTATGCCCTTATATATTATGGACGTTGGAACTGTATTCCAAGAACTCTTTTTGTGGATTCATCTCAAAAGAAACAATAGATTGCAATTTTCAGGTCGTGTACAAGTGTCATAAGTAGTACGACTAAATTTTTCCTGTTTGTTTCATTTATCAGAATTAGTAAAGAAAATTGATCGGACCGGGCCGAAAAAAAATTGTTGTGAGCTTATTTATATAGATCAATAAGATTAGAGGAAGCATAAGAGTTAATATATATCTTTAAATAAACTTGACATAAATAAGTTTGACATGGGTTTGATAGGGAAGTTATTCGGTGGAGGTAGCAACATCAATATTGAGGAGGAGATTGAAAAGAAGGGGTTTTCAACTTCAGATTGTTCCTTTGATTGTGATTCATGCAGCTCAAAGTTTCCAGCTTCTGTTTCGGTGGAGGAAAATGATCAACTATGGAATTCGACCAAAGAATATGGGTTACACATTGTTGTTGCAAGTGGTAAGACAGATTGGCCACACGATGCGTGTCTGGTTTCTGGTTCGGTAGGGATGGCAGTATCTGGTTGGGCGGAGTTGTCGAAAGATAAGTTCCCAGAGTTAGGAACATCGTCCACAATAAAGGTAACTATGTCTTCGTTAGGGTCAGTAGAGTTAGATACGAATGAGGAATACATTCTGGGAAGAAGGGGCGATATATTGATATTGCCATTCTTTATTTGGATTAAGAATGTATCCGCTAAGGATGTGGGCTCATTGCTTGACGTGGTGATGCCGAAGCTCATAGAGTGCAGGGATAAGAAAATACCGCCGCCATCAAAGGTTGAGGATTTTGATGATGTCACAATGCAAGCTGATAGCTTTCAATCGTATATTTTCTTGTGTTCACATAGGACAAGAGATAAGAGGTGCGGAGTTACCGCTCCATTAATGAAGCGTGAAATGGAGATTTATTTGAGAGATCTTGGCTTGTATAGGGATCTCAATGATGATAGACCTAATGGAGTCAAGGTGGCGTATATAAATCACGTAGGGGGTCACAAGTACGTTGCTAATGTGTTGATGTATTCTAAGACAGGAAAGAATATTTGGCTAGCTAGATGCAGACCTCAAAATGTGAGGCCGATTATAGACGAGTGTATTCTAGCAGACGGAAAGGTATGGGCAGACAAGGTCAGAATCATTCAAAGATTTGACGCTATTGAATGGTGAGTTCGCTCAAACTTACAGGAGTTATTTTTAATATATATATATATATAGAGTTCGCTCAAACTTACAGGAGTTATTTTTAATATATATATATATATAGAGTTCGCTCAAACTTACAGGAGTTATTTTTCATATATATATATATATTGATTTGCTTTAAATTATTAGATTTGCAATATATCTTTAAATACTTATATCCAATATATATTAGCCATGTTTCGATAACTAATGTCTATAAATTCACTAATAGTTAGTGAATATACTTAATACATTTAATCTTTTTTGGATTGAATCGATAGTCTGCTTTTGTAAGCTTTGCTTATTATTTTGAAGCATTCTGGCTAAACGATTAATTTCCCTATCGAAAAATTCAATTTCTCCGTTGATAATGTTGTTTATCAATTTCTTATAATATTTTGCCATCGATATATCATCTCTAATGGATATAACTTCTTGTTTGTTAACCACCAGGCTGGTACTTAATGCAATAATTTTATTTAATTCACGCAACAATTCCATTCCTGCCTCACTTCCGGCCCCTTTCGATAATTTATCTTTGATTAGTTCATCCAACTTGTTTATTTTACCAGCAGTTTCTAATAATTCACCATTTGTGTCACGATGCAACCCTGCTTTCTCATTAATGAATGAAACTAACTGTTCAAGAGATCTATCACCATAAAACAAAACAGGCCTTCTTAAGCCATCTTCGTCTACTTTACTCGAATCAAAATACAAAATAGTTGGAAATGAGGTAACGCCAAATTGTGACATCAATTTGTCCGCAGGACTATCATCAGCGACAACTTTACCGATTACTATCTTATCATCATTAACGTATACGTCATTAGCCAATTTTTCCCAAATTGGCAGTAAGGTTTTACAATGACCACACCACAGAGCCGTGAATGCTACAATAGTAGTAGCCTTGTCGTTATCGAGTACTTTTTCTTGGAAGTTTAAATCGTTAAGTTCCAATACGTGTGATTCCTCTTTATCGCCATCTAATATTCCCAGACCTTTAGATTTATCCAACCGTATATTCGCTATCTGTTGCACAAAGTTACTCATTGCTTCCGCATCTCTAGCCCCGTTAAATTCAATGGGTTCATCGTTTTCATGAAACAACATCACAGTTGGAAACCCTTCTATATTGTACTTCTTACTCATTTTACGACCATCCTTATCCCCATTAATTTTAACAATTTGTACATTTAGTTCATTTTCAAACAAATGGCTAACTTCTTCATACGCTGGTAACATGTTTTTACAATGACGGCACCAATCAGCATAAAATTTCACTAATGTATACTTTCCCGAAGTGATGACAACATCTTTAAAATTTTGATCATTTACTTGTAAAACACCGGATCCATGGACTAATATAACTAAGAAAGATATTATTATTGTACAGCTTAGTTTCATTGTTTAAGATAGGTAAGTTAGGCCAACTTCTTATGTTATAATTCTCTTTGCTGAATACAACAACGCAGTTCATTTTAACTAAGCGAATACAGTCGTGGTTCTATTAAATTACATAATATATAATTTGCAATCAATTCATACAAATAATAAATATATTGGCCATAAGAGGGACAACAACAAATAAATAGGCCATAAAAAATGGCAATAAATAAATAAAGCTTTTTATACAAGGAGAGTTATCTAGTTCTTACTCCTAGTAAGCGGAATTGGACGACACGTAATGTAAGAGTTTTGTCTGTTAGAGGCACCAGCAAATGCATTGTACCAAGCAATAATAGACGTTATAACTCCGAAAACACCACCAGCCCTCGAAACACCTACTTTACCACTAAATTCACCACCGGCCAATAAAATAAATGTGATCGTTAAAAAGAAAAATAACGAGAAAAAGGCCAAGGTGGATTTCATAGTAGCTAAACAAAGCAAGAATGTGACTATGGCCCATCCAATAAGGAAAAACCCAATCGCATTGCCAAGCATTTCCTCATCTTCGTAGGCAGCAGAAATACCAAAGCTTTCGATAAATATGGCGGCATAGGATAACCAGAATGCACCATATGAAGTTAATGCTGTACCACCAAATGTGTTTCCTAAAAGAAGTTCCCACATACCGGCTAAGAACTGAACAGCACCACCGTAAAAACAAGAAGCACCCACAACAACATTAGGAATAGTAATACCCATGGCCTGTGAATTGTATAACGATAAAACGAACGTAGTAAAGGCGAAAGCTGCTAAACCCAAAGGTGCTGGATTAGCGAACGAATTGGTTGGATATGGACTTAATCCAGGATTTAATGTACCTCCAAAAGCGGTCATCAACTCGTTTCTAGCATATTTCTTGTTACCAAGTATAATATATTCATTACGTTCACCAGAATAACGAACTTCCGCTAAAGGTGCCTCATCTAAAGGAATGGTTGAGTCCGACATTTTATATTTATTTCTTATATCTATTTCAAATATAATAGAGCTCTATATTTTGTGGAGAAGAACTGATGCTTTATATAGAAAACTTTAGTGTCATCAAACAATTTATTCCCGTCATCAGTCTATTTAATTGTGAGCACGGGAGACGGATTTGGGTTTTAGACAGTAATATTTAATTTGATGCGTTTTTAACGGTGTTTTTCATTTTACTGGCAACGGATGCATGCAGCAATGTGGTGCTGCCCCACACCGTATACAAGACATCGGTAAATTTCTTCAAACAAAAGTCCGACCAATAATATTTTTTTTCAAAACAAAGCACCGCAATGGTTAATATACTTAGGATACCATGTATGGTGTGGATTGTTCACGACAATGTATTCCGAGAGTCTTGTTGGGCAACAGATGTTGATTAATATTGCATAAATCCATAAATAAAAGATTGCTCAATAGTGAAATTCCATTGCAATAGAATGGTTTCGTGGTCTAGTTGGTTATGGCATCTGCTTAACACGCAGAACGTCCCCAGTTCGATCCTGGGCGAAATCATTTTTTTTTTTTTCACATCACGCGAGCAATGGTACAAGAACGCTTAACAAAAGTCAAATAATGTGCTGAATAATTCTTTGTTGGCTAACAATGATACATATTTCTAAGAGCTTGAAATGTTTTAATATCCCTTATACTAGGGAATTTTCATCAACATTGCGGAACCCAAAGACATCTTTAACATTCTTTACCAAGGAAACTTGCATGTTATGTACCAATGCTAAAAATATTTTACATGATACATTGAAAGATGATACATTGAAAGATAAGGAAATATCGCTAGAAACAATCGATATAATGAAACCTGAAAATTCAAAATGGTTTGATATATACTGCTATGATGTTCCTGTATTACACGTGGATAGACCTTATCAAGCAAAACCTGTCAAATTCATGCATTACTTTCATAACGACAAACTATTGGACGAATTTAGTAAATAATTGTGATATATATGGAACAAATAGACAAATATTGGAATTGGAGTTAGAAATTTTATTACTTTCTTGCTTTCTGTCTTCTGCTATTGGGCTTCTTACTTTTTGCTTCCAGTGTTGAACTGTTTATGTTGTCAAAAGAATATTCATCTGCAGGTAATTTTTCAGCATCAATGAGTTTCCTTTTTTTAATAGATGACGTATTATCGGGGTTGATTTTAAAAAGTTGAGATTGTAATTCTTTGATTTTAAAATTTAGTTCATCGTTTTCCTTCTTTAAAGATGAACATTTTTTCTCGGATTCTTTCAAATTACTCTCAGCATTCTCTAGTCTACGGAGTTCTTGCTTTTTGCTGCTGATCGTTTCGTCATTAAGTGCAACTTGTTGTTGGTATTTCAATTTTAAATCATCAATAGTTTGAACCTTTTCTTTTTCATTCTCATCCAACTTTTTTATTTTAATCCGTTCAGCAACTAATTCTTTTTTAGTATCCTCATACATACTTTTCAAGGCAATAGAGCTATTATTAAATTTAGTTTCTTCTATCTTTATTTTTCTCGTTATTTCTTTAATAGTTTTTTCTAATTCGCTAGCTTTATTCTCTAGAGATAAAGTCTTAGTTTTTTCAACCGAAACGAGTTGCTTTTCTACCGCTAATCTTTCCTCCTTATCTTTAAGCTTAATCTTGTATTCTTCTAATCTTTCCAGAACACCTTTTGTTATAGCTAGCTCTTTATTTAAGAGATTTACTTTTTCAATAAACTTGGACTGTTGATTAAGCATGTCATTCTGAAGTAGTTGCTTTTGTTCATGCAGCTTATTCAAATCACTAGTAGAATTCTCTACTTTAAGTATGAGGGAATGATTTTTATTCTGAACTTTATCAAAATCCAACTTGTACTTCTCTAATTCCGTAACCTTCACTAATAAATTGTCAATTTCACTCTTCATTCTTGATTTTTCGTCCATCGTAATTGAATTGAGTTGTTTATAAGTTTGGATCTGAGACTCATAATTTTTACAGTAATGTTCCTTTTCAGTTTGAGATTGCTGTTTTAGGACCTGTATTTCAGAATTTGAATCATCCAAACTACGTTGAACCGAGACTAATGATTCTTTTGTGTCTATTAATTTCTGTGCAACTTCGGACTCTTTAGTTTCAAGGATGGATATAGTCTTATCTAGTTTAACATTTTCAAATTGTAACTTTTGATACTTATCCATAAATTCCTGTTTAGAATTTACGAGATCACTTACATGAAGCTCTACTTTTGAAAACCTTTCATTGTAATCCTTTCCCATTGACGTTGACTGATCAATGGTTTTGTTGACATTATTCAAGTTATTCTCTATCTTATTGAAATATACATCACTTTTCTTTAAAATGGCTGCGAAATTCGGTTCCAAAATGTCTTCTTTCAAACTAGAAAAAATTACCTCACCTCTATTTTCCATTTGCTTGAAAAGCGGATCTAACATTCCTGAAATATAATCATTTATGGAAGTTAACTGTGAAGATAATGTATGGAAATTATTTTCATATTTTGTGTTGTTGAAATTGTTACAATTTTTGAAATCATTTCTTAGCTGAGAGAAGTTTAGGTTCAACTTTTCCAGAACATCCTTGTTGATTCTTAAAAGTGTGTCTTGTATCAAATTATTCTCATATTTAATAAAAGCGGGCAAAGAATTGTTGAGTTTATCTAATAACGTGATTTGCAATTGACTCTGCAATTGGGTCATTTGCTCATTATGCGTTTGATTAATTTGACTGATCTCTTGAATTAAAGAGGAAGTTTTCAACTTTTCTTCTGATAAGTTACCTGATAATTCATCTACCGTGCTATTCAAACTAATAATCTTGAGATTTTGACTTTCAAGTCTAAATTTGAATTTATTGAACTTGGATTTGTATACGTCCATTTTTCTTATCGATTCATTTATTTCGTTTCGAAGAGTACGTATTCTACTCTTTGTAGATATGTTTTCATCCTTTAACAATTTTAATGTTTTGGTATATTGCCTCTTTTCATTCTGTAGCAAATCTAAATTTTCTTGAAATACATGCATTGTTTTTTTTAAGTTTTCTGTCATTTTTGCAACATCTCGCAATTTATTCTTGTTGACAGTTAATTCATCGTTTTTCACTTTTATTTCATTCTTTCCGTCTATTAGCTTGACCTCCAATTCATTACATTTGTTTTCCAACTCATTAATAAGTATGAAATATGACTTAGATATACCAATCTTAGTATCTTTCATAGGGCGAGCGGTATCCGATGACCCGAATTTGACTAAAGACGTGGAACCTATAGGCTTGTAAATGGCACCAGTTATGTTTGTATCCCTATTACTCTGTAAGTTTTCTACTCTAATACCATGAGTACCATCCTGGTTTTGAATAGGTCTGTGTAAATCAATTGTTTCCCCAACCATATTATTATCGTCTCTATTCAGTTCTATTTTATACAACGGTCCTCCCTCACGCTTCTCTGAACTATCTGTCAGCATCCCGTTGAAGTTCGTACGATTTTTCTCCAAACTCTTATAGCTAATCAAAGTTGAATTCTGTCTTGAATGGTTAAATAAAGCACCAGGAGTACGGTTTGCAAACTTAAAATCATTTGAAATATTAACCAATGGATCAGTTAAGGTTGTTGAGGAGGTTTCAGAAGATCCGATTTCAGAATTTGTCAAAGTGTCATTACGAGAAACCTTGGAGGTATCGGGAACCGATGTGTGTTCTTCATCACAAGAACTGTCTTTAATATTATTTGTCATGGTTATTCATTAAGAAGAGGACATACTAATAAAAGATGGCGGCTAAAAGTGTTGCAAGAATAATTGTTTAGAGATTAAATTGGTGATACATCATCAATTAACGAGATGAACCCAAAATTAGGCAATCGAATACAAATACTATAACTATATTATAAACATGCCTGATAAAGTACGTTGAAGTAGAGGGCGTCATAACCAAAAGCCCATTTATATTTCATGCATTTTAGATCTGTTGAAGATCAGAAAGCATACTCTAATAATACCTTGCAACGATGAAATACGGAATGAATAGAGGTATTTCTTTAAGAAGCATTCAATTTAGAATGTAGATCTGCTGTGATCGTAAATAAAAATTAACGAAAAATCACATTCAATGCGTATTATTGAAAGTGAAAGCAAACCTCGGAGTGATCACACATTTAATTTGCAAACTACTTCTAGTTAGAATAAATTTAAGACAATTATAACTTTGAAGGTATAAAATGTCAGGACGTCAAAAATCAGCACTAGTCACTGGTGCTTCATCAGGAATCGGATACGCCACAGCAATTGAATTTGCCAAACGAGGATATCAGGTGTTTGCTGGTGCTAGAAGATTGGAACCTATGGAACCATTGGCGAAAGAACACGGAATTATCATTTTCCAGTTAGATGTTTCGTCAACAGAAAGTGTTAAAAAGGCTAGGAGCTTAATTGTCGAAAAAACAGGAGGATATCTCGATATATTGTACAACAATGCTGGCCAGTCATGTACGTTTCCTGCTTTAGATGTTACTGACGAGTGGTTTAAACAGTGTTATGAGGTGAATGTTTTTGGACCTATGAGATTGGTGAGGGAATTAGGACCATTAGTTATCAATTCCCAAGGTACGATTGGGTTTACTGGGTCAGTTAGTGGGATTTTGCCTTTCCCATTATCTTGTACATATTCGTCTTCTAAGGCGGCTATTCACCAGTATGCGGCTAGTTTAAGGATTGAAATGAAGCCATTCAACGTTAAAGTGATTAATATAGTTACTGGTGGGGTTAAGACGAACATTGAAGATAGGAGACCATTACCAGAGAGTTCTCTTTTTAATGTTCCTGGTATGAAAGGAACTATGGTTGAAAGACAACAGATGGCTAAGAGAAATAATCCAATCAGTGCAGAAAGCTATGCTAAGAAAGTGGTTTCTGATTTTGAGAAACTGAGAATAAATGGAGCATTGAATATTTACAGGGGAAGAATGGCTACGTTTTTAGGCTACTTATTATACTGGTGTCCAAGGTTTTTAGTCGAGATTATCTTTATTAGAAAGTTTAAATTGACTGCAATTTACAAGACTTTAAGAACCAAATACAGTAAGGAACATCTTGATTGATCAAATATATATTCCTGTTACAGATTAGCGTATGTATTTAAGTATAGTACATATTTTCGAAAATTTGACGTATAAATGCAAAAAAGCAAAAAGCTTTAAAATTCTATTCGTGATAGTGTGTCATAAATCGGTTATTTATTAGCTATGCAGCTAAATTTAATGCAAATTCTGCGACAAGCAAAATCGATTAATCCAAAGTCTGGCCAATATAGTGTCTAAATCTTAGCCTTCATTTTTGGATCGATAGTACCGACATTATCTAGATGTTGAATGTCAGTATCGAATAATTCTTTGCACAAATGATCAATGACTCCCCAGCCATAACCATTCGAAAATTTCCTTCTCACAACTATATTATTATGAGCATCAGGCGGTAGATTGACTAAAATCTTCCTCCAATTTAACTTTGGAGTATGATATTTTTTAGCAATTTTCACTTGCTTATCTAGCTTCCAGTCATTATAATTAAATAAAACTTTCCCCAACTTGGAAGTTTTAGACCGCTCATGCTCTTCTTCAGGTCCAATAGGCAAACCCTCAAATTGGTAGTACTTGTCATGAAAAATTACCGGATTTCTAGAACCCGGATTGATTATATAGTTGTTGGATGGTGTAGGACAAAATATTGTACTTAAAGCAGATTCAAGGGAAGATGCTTTTGGCGGTAAATTCAACTCAGCTCGTTCATCCGATTCTGATTGAAGTACATCTTTTCCTTTTCTTCCTGGGGAATGAATGGATGTTTCGTTGTTCAGACTAGGAGTAACTGAATCATCAGTTTCACTGTCGTAATCGAGCAAATCACTTCCTTTTGCATTAATTCTTAATATATTTCTTTGTTTCCTATTTAGCCTCTTTCTAGCCAGATGTTTATTACGTTTGTTTGTACTCGAATTCAAAGATAAAAATTGTCTATGGCTCTTCTTTCTGTCTCTTGTATCGCTATTGGCATCGTATTCCTCAGATTTATCAGCTGGAATCTCACCTACAGATTCTTTAGTAGTATTGGTTTCAATCAGCCGGATATCATCATGATCATAGTTCTCTAATTTTTTACTCTTATCATGTTGCAACTTTCCGACATTACCCAATGCTTCATAATCAAGATACAACAATCCACTGGTTCTAAGCGGAACTATACCATCATTTATAGCATTAGCATAAAGTGTTAAATGTTCGAATTTACTTAAAAATTCTTGCAAGGGATCATCGGGCAACATTTCTAGTAGAGGCCTAAATGTATCTCTTTTGTGCATATCATTCTTATTTGCAAGTTGCTTAAGATTTGGAATTTTTTTCAGCAATGTTAAATCTCGTCCGGTTTTGCCCAATGTTCCTAAATCTAGAAACCATGATATCAAAATATTCATTTCGCTTAAAATCCCTAATAAAGGACTAGCCATGCATATTAAATTTTGTGGTTTTATATTCTTTTTCAGGAAATAATCCTCTCCTCTAGTTACTAATATTTCTTTAATAGCATACAATTGAACCAATCCCCCGAGTGAGTGGCCAATGAATGAAATCTTATCTATTTGAATATCTAAATCATTTAAATCTTCAATTAAATGAATTATATATTTCGACAATCGCATTCCCAATTTCTTAATCCCCTTTTCACTTCTACCTGCGTTTCCTTCATACCCTCTAACGAGAATGTTTTCCTTAACACTAGATTCTAATGAATCTTTCATGTGTAGCATGTCTGCTGTTACATTTGAGAATATACCATGCGTAAGTATTATCAAATGCACAGGCATTTGAGGATTTTTTGGCTGATTTGTCCACAAATCCTTAGTGCTTTGCTTCAATACACTTAACTGTGGATTCGTCGATACACCTAAAGGAGTTTCTTTATCTTTATAATCGTCCGAACCATTATGACTCGTATTAGTCAATGAGTTAGGAAATGGCCCATGATTTATTTTTTTCATACCTTTAAAATCATCTCCAATCATAAAATCATACATTATAACAGTCTTCGTAGTTACAACAATCTGTGAAACCACATCTATGGACCACAGGTACACGGGGAACCCTTCTTCCGAGTCTTTTACATACGAATTTTCATTTAACTTTAGCTTTACATTGAAGGTTTGACCAGGTTTTACTTCATTTTCAAATATCACTTCCTTGTTGTCTTTCGAATCACTTGGATTAAATTCTTTAAGGTGGTCATAATTATGCGGTATTACATGACAATATAAAATAAAGGGTCCATTTAATAAATGAATTGCTCGTATGGACGCCCTTTCAATGTTTTTAAGGCGGTAATATATTTCCTTTTTATCTGGATCTACCAGAGTATATATTATATTATAACGGCAAACTCCACCCAAGCTCAAACTATCCTTATCTCTGTACCATAAGTAGGGTCTCATACTTGGCACTACTGCTTTTAACGTGTGTATGGCTTTTGACACCTCAAATAGAATAGGTATTTTAGAATGTCGTAACTTGGGGTAGATACGACATGCGGATATTACATTAACCGAATATATAATATTCTATAGACAATACTAGGAGTATTAAGTTCCTCCTCTAGCCATACGAAATTCTTTAAATAGGATGGAAACGTATTGAAGATTCTCTACCGAATATAATATAAACACTTTTCAAATTATGCACGTTGAAAATTCGTCTTCATCAAAATCTGATGATATGGAGAGCATGCCATTTTCAAGATCACCATCAACATCGAATTCATTAGGCACCACTTCGAAATGGTCGACAGACAACAAATGTCACACATTGATTATAATAGGATTGAGAGGCGTCGGAAAATCAAGCTTAGCTTTAATGGCGCTGGCCGCCCTAAAATATAAGTATGTAGATGTTGAAAAATGTGTCCTGGAATATACTGGTATGCCAGAGGCCCGATTTCTTGAAAAAGTGACTATCGAAGAGTATAGGGAATTACAATTTAAGTTAGTTTTGAGTGCCTTGAAAGAAAATGAAAATAACAATCTGATTGTTGTGTTACCTTCAACTGTTATCGATTCCCATTTATTAATCAACTATTTAGCTCATAAGCAATACCCTTACATTATAAATGTTGAAACAGAAGAAGCACGTATTTTGAACTATCTTAATTTTAGTGGTTCTTACGACAAGGGTGTCAAATTAATTCAACTGAAGTTTTTGAAGTACAGAACTATTGCCAAATACAACTTTTTCAATTTGAATTCAGATTTGCTGTTTATAAAAGAAAATTTAATTTCAATTGGTAGTAATAATACTTATTCCAATAATGATAGTAATAGTTATCTCCTTTTAAAACCAATTGAAAAGGAGTTTATAAGATTCTTAAACTTTATACTTAAAGGGTCGTACTCGGCAGCAACAATTTCTGGAAATTTACACTTGAAAATGAATTTTCTAGAACGATTCACCACTTGCTTGCAAATCAACTTTCCTAATAGCATAAATGATGAGTTTTTAAATAACCTACATGAAACAATTTACGGTTCTGACGCAATCGAAATTCAGTTTGATTTGATTCAAGTAATTAAGCTAAACATATCTGCATCCAATGTGAAAATAGATGAATTTATTGCACAAGTCAGACGTTATACTTACTGTTCAATACCCATAATATTAAGTATTTCTAATAGTTTACCAGAGTTAAACTTGTTTATTGATGAATATTCCATTTCTTCCGGTAGCGATTATAATCAAACCAAAAGAGACTTGATAAGTTTTTATTTTAGTATTTTGAATTCAGGAATAAAAACTGGACTAGACTATCTTATAGTTGACTTATCGACTTGCTTTAACGATAAAGAAAACTTTATATCTAATGATTCCAAGTTTGAAGAAATAATTTCAATCTTAAAGGAATTGGTAACCATTAGTGGCCATACAGAAATAATAGGATCATTTACTTCCAACGATCCAAATTTTTGGATATCGCAATATGGAGCAATGAAAGTGGTTGAGTTAGCCAAAAACATAGGAATTAAATTTTTAAGACTTACTTCACCTGCAAATGAATTATCAGACAATTTTAAAGTTATGTACTTTAAGCAGAATTTGAAACTAATGTACCCCAACTTGCACATGGAGGTGATTGCATTTAATACAGGAAAATTAGGAAAACTTTCTATGCTTATGAACAAGACGTTAACACCTGTTTGTATCAATCCAGGACGCGAAATAACCCCATCTATTCCAGAATCGGACCAAATTTCAAGTTTGTCATCATTTGATATACAAAGGGCCTTGAATTCATCTTTCGTTACTCCTTCTTTAGACTTTTATGTGATGGGAATAAATGTCTCAAAGTCTTTATCTCCCGAAATGCATAATTCTGCTTATAAAGCTCTAGGATTACCACACTGTTTCAAAATATTTGAATGTTCTTCATTGACACCCAACTTGACAAACTTGGTCAACTCTCCTACGTTTGGAGGAACTGCAATAATTATGCCCTTCAAGATGGAAGCTTTGAATTATGTTGATACAATGTCAAATCATGTCAAAATAATAGGTGCCTTAAATACAATTTTTGCTGAAAGGTCGATTGAAAATCCGAACAAGATAATTAAAACCAGGGGTGAAAATACGGACTGGTTGGGTGTGAAGTTAACATTACAGGATAACATCTCGCCGATTAATGCTATAAGTAAAAACAAAACAGCACTTGTAATTGGTGCAGGTGGTATGAGTAGAGCAGCGATTTATGCACTCATACAATTAGGATATCAAAAGATTCTTCTTTATAATCGAACTTATGAAAAGGCGCAGCAACTTGCCAGCTACTATAACAGCTTATCCCCGATTCGTTCATCTATAGCATTGTCTATAGGAGAGGTCAGTTCACACGACGATTTAAATTATTTTGAAATTGTTTTATTGAACGATGATGAATATTTGAATGCAAAAATTCCAAATAATTTTGACTACCCGTCTGTTGTTATTTCATGCGTACCTAGCTCAGATCCTCTAACAGGCAAGCTAACAAATTTTGAATTGTCGCTGGAATGGTTTAAAAGTCCGTCTGGCGGGGTTGTTTTAGAAACAGGCTATGATCCAATAGTAACGCCACTCTTGAAAAATACCTGCAAGTTCAGTAATAAGGGATGGGTTGGGATTAACGGATTGAACTATCTTTATGCTCAGGTATTGGCTCAATTTGAAATGTTTACAAATAAACCTGCACCAAAGGCATTATTGAAAGATGTTGTTATAAAGCACTATCAAATGAAAAAATCAGAAAGTTAAGTATTCTCGACACTAAATATACATAATATGAGTGCAACTTCTTTTTAGCATTTTTATTCTATTTATAGCTTAATATATATCGTTCTACGAGAATCAAATTAAGTAATTGTTTTATTAAGTAAAGTTTCAAAATTTATATAATCTTTATTGAATATGTACTACTAAAGTTTGGCATCTTCATACAACCCACCGAAGGAATATATTGGAGACTTGCCTGTCTTATATTCATTCCAACCTCTCTCAGCTTCAGCAAAAGCTTCGTAACCCCATAAGAACTCTTGAAATTTTGGATCAGCCCATCTATTTGGACATCCAATAACTGGTGGATTGATGGCAAGTTTCTTGTCTCTTGTAACTTGTTCCTGGCCATCATGTACATGGAAGATGTTTCTGCACTCAGTGGAACCTTGAACAACTTGAGTTGTTCTCCATTTTCTTAATGACTCGCAAACGGATAATAAATCACGAATTTGCGACTTATCTTCGATTCTGCTGAACAAACCTGCCAATACGGCGGCATCTTCTAAAGCTTGCGAAGCACCAGAAGCTAAATATGGCAAAGTTGCATGAGAAGCATCTCCTAAAATGATGAAGTTACCTTTTTTAGGAGTCCATACTGGCAATTCTCTGGAATTTTGTAATCTCCATTTACCAGTCTCTTGAATTAAACTGAACAAAGTTTTTAATCTTGGATCCCAATCTTCAAAGATAGCAGTGATTTCTTCTTTATCAGCATATTGGACTGCAACGTCTTTTGGTAAGGTATCTGGCGATAAGATCACAACATTACACGTTTTACCACCTTGTAATAAATAAACCACAATATGCTTATCTGGCCCCCACCAAAAGTTAATATTAGCGGTTTCATAGAATGGAGCTAATTCGGCGTGTTTCTTCATGTCTTCGACCTTAATCAAGGCCCTGTATGCTAAATCACCAGTATCATAAGGTAAATCTTCATGACCTAAGACAGCTGATCTCAATTTTGATTTAATACCGTCATATCCAACAACGACATCACCGGTGTATGATTTACCTTTGGAAGCTGTAACAGTATTATTTTCGAAGTCAACGTTATCGATATGCGTGTCTAAGATCATATCAACACCGACTTCTTTTGCTCTCTCCACTAAAACTTTGTGGTAGTCCGCTCTGTGAACATGCAAGTACATGGAATTGTAGTTTTCCTCAGTGTATGGAACCAAATTTTGCTCTGAAATCTGCTTACCGTCTTCCCAACGGAAAATCTTAAAATTTTCTGGAATCATAGAATGCTTCAAAAGATTATCCAAACAACCGATTGTTTTGATAATCTTAACTGAGGGTGGTGGTATCTGGATACCAGCTCCAATTTCACCCAATTCAGATGCTTGTTCTAACAACTTAACGTTATGACCTGCTAACTTCAAACAGATGGCTGCGGTAACACCACCCAAACCGGCACCGACAATAACGAAATCAAGAACGATTTTTGTTTTTGGAATTGAATTTTCAAGAGCTGTCATTATAATAGTACTTATAGTTACTTATAAAACTAATTATCATACTAATCAGATCAGAGAATTGAAATACAATTTATATATTCCGTATTTTGGTGTGTTTTCGGATAAGTGTTTAACTCGGGGTATCGCTTATTCATTTAACCGCAATTTTGATTGCAAAATTTGCAATGTGGGACCGGAAGTGCGAATATTCTATTCTACAAATAGGCATCTACGATACAAAATCTGATCTTAATAAGACTTAGTTTTAAGTAATCAATAATTTATTTGTAAATATCCATTTTTCAGTATATATAATTTAAGGATAAGTGATATCATGAATAATTATTTATATAGTTGAATCTAATGAGGTAGACGGGAGAATTTACGGATAAGGTTTGATTGATATGATAACTTATATGCATAAATTGGACCGATTAGACCGAATTAAGACAAGTGCAGTCAGTAGGCACTATAATTAAAGCATATCTGCTTTTTTCTTTAAAAGCTGCCACACGCACCCATCAAGTTGTAAAACGGGCCAATTTTATTTGGCCTGGGAGTGAATTACTCGGTTCTGGGCCAAGGTGTAAGCTAGAGTTGCCAGAGCAATCAATTTAAATCTCTATCAGACCTCATTATAAACATCAACTCTTATAAGTAGACAATTATTAATGGACTAATAACAACTATTTGATCAAATTATTTATATACGGCAATATTTACACTCATATATATACTATTGATAGACAGCGGGGAGAAATATGCCTACAGGGCTTTATTAAAAATATCAATTGGTAACTGAACCTCTAAAACTAACAAGATCCCTTGAGTATTCTAATGTAGATAGATTTACGTGCTACCTTGCAATCAGCTACTATTTTTTAGTGCGGCGCTAGAAATTTACTGGAGAAAAAATTGCCTTTTTGAATAAGCAGAAAATCCATTGATCTGTTTGTTGACCAAAAAAAGGTTCTCAATATCAACATTAACTTGAGGACTTTGGCAACTGTTCATCAATATGATAAGATTCTCAACAGCACAGGAATCCTGCCACAGTTTATCTGGAGTTGTGTATTGATGGATGCTCCTGATGATAAAATAGCATCGGAATCATATTATTAGACCCTATATAACTCGTAGAATACGGAACGAACCATCTGAACCCATCTCACAATTCCATCACACCATATGAATAGTTTAGCACTTTCGGTCGGTTCATCAAAATGGGCATCGATCCGATATGGGAGATCGTCGAATCATACAAGACTCTGTAACTGTGTACGTAATACCTGTTTCAGTTACCAGCAATATTATACATTAGCCATATCATTCAAATAATAGTATTTGTACATGTAGCTAGGTATTTTTGCCCAAAAATACAATGAATTGTCGATTCATATTCCGAAGAATTTTTAATAGCTATTTGCACAGTTTATGATAGGTTTAGCCTTAGATCGTAGTCAAGAATCTAAAGTTTATCTTTTATTAAGGGCCGGTCTTATATCTACAATAGAATTAATCTCAATATCGAAGCTATAGAATAAATACATTGGTCTACAACAGCCACAGCTTCCCACAGTTTCGAATAACTCTCATAAGACCTTTCAGTTAAAACCAGTCTACTCTTGTCCACCCCCCGGAACAAGCTCATGATGAATTTACGATATTCTGGCGTCGCGTATTGCCTCTTTCAGTAAATCGATTCCCTAATCTAGATGACTTTAAAGTTGTGGAGAAACAAAACAACAAAAAAAAAGGAACAGAAGAAGCCGGTTGCGGCGCTCGCATCCGTGCAAGCTGAGACACTAACTACTTTTTGACGAGCATTTACATACGTAATTAAGGGCCAAATTATATTTCCGGTGCGTATGCCACTTAAAGAGAGGCATGGTTAATTTACCGGAAAATGAATCCGAATTATTAAAATTATTATGGACCCATTATATAGCGGGAATATTCAAATGGTAAAAAAGAAGGTAGCCCAAAGTACTGTTCATTACCCCATCAAACCTGGCAACCTTTTTATATAAGATTGTTTAAAACTCCACACTCTTTCATTAAATATATTAACAACGAACAATGTTCTCAAAATTAGCTATCGGCTCAGCAGTAATCGGCGCGGTTTTTGCAGCCAGTGTTCCAAGTGAAGCCCCATACATTTCGAGACCAGAGATAATCCCATCCGAACTCGATGTTCAAATTAATAAAGGCGGAGTAGAAAACTCGTATATTTTCTTATGCCCATGGAATCCTGGTGATATTCCTGACACTGCTCCATACTTTGGCCCACATATCTACGACAAAGATGGTAACTTGGTATGGACTGGATATGGGCTACCACAATCTATCTCCAATTTCACGCCAATTCAATACCACAGAAATTCTTCCAATACCACTGGACTATCATATTGGACTGGTACTGTATCTGGAGTCGGGCTAGGCTTTGGTAGCTATCGAGAAATGGACAACAGCTATAGAATTACAGAAAATTTGGGATTCCAATCTCCATTTTTAAACGATTTCCATGAATTCAGCGATTTCGGCGATGGTACAGCAGTCTTTTCTACTTATCAAGCAATTCCATACAACTTGTCTACTTGGAATTCATCCATGGAAGACGGATGGGTTTACCAAAATGTTATCAATGAAATCGACACATCTACCGATGAAGTAATTTTCCTGTGGAACTCTATTGAACATATACCAATCTCCGAATCATTAGTTTTAAACCAAATTGAAGATGGGAAAGGTAAATCTAATGAATATCCGTTCGATTACTTGCACATGAATTCTATCGATAAAGATAGAGATGGAAATTACTTGATCTCAGGCAGACATGCTTGGTCTCTTTATTATATTGATGGTAAATCCGGAGATTTGATCTGGACTTTGAACTCTAATCCTGAAGGTACTACCAATTGGAACGTTGAAGATGATGCTACCTTTGCATACCAACACAATGCTAGATTTGTTGATGCTGAACTTATTGGGGAAGAGTCCAATGACACTGTTCGATACATTTCTCTCTTTGATAATGAAAGCAACGGCCACACCCCAAAAGGATTCCGAGACAGATCTCGAGGTATCATCCTTAAATTGACCACTAGTAAAGGTAACTGTTTTACTACCAAGAGTAATGATACTATTGGTAAAGTCGAATTATTCCAAGAATATAAATCTGGTGATGCTATTGATGATTTGTGTACTTCTCAAGGTTCTGTTCAAGTATTGGATAATGGTAATGTGTTTGTTGGTTGGGGAGCAAATCCCGGTGTATCTGAATATACTCTTGATGGTGATAAAATCTTTGAAGCCGTACCAAAGGATAGTACCATTTCTTACCGAGCTTTCAAAGGTAACTGGACTGGTAAGCCATTCCAAGACCCAGCTATTGTCGCCAATGCATTTGAATCTAACAGTTCAACTGTAATGTATTTCTCATACAATGGGGCTACTGAGGTCAAGAAATACAACTTGTATGGTGGTAATTCTACTTCCGAAATGAGTATGATTACTCAGCTCGATAAGGTTGGATTCCAAGGTATCTACACTGCTAAGGAATTTTACCCATATGTTAAAATTGAAGCGCTCGATAGTGATGGAAAGAAATTGGGTGATCATAGTGCTTCTTCTTACTTAATGAATCGAAAGGATTAGCAAATCTTTTGATGAAGAAGAGCTATCACCTGGTAATCAAGTGAGGCCTCCTAGGACTTTGGTCGGAGGTATCACTACTCTAATGATGCTGTGATAAAGTTACTGTAATTCTTTGTATTTAGAATCATGAATTTATTTAGTAAAAATTACACCTGATATTTATCGGGCCGACATGACATGTCTAACCCTAACTCCTGGATCGATATAAACCTTCTGAGCTTCATGAAACAAGAGTCTTCAACTTTACACTATTATTTCAAAAATGAACAATACTACGACAACAATAAATTAATCACCGTCAGAACGTTGTATTCTAAACCCCAGTCTTGCAACATGTATAAAACCCAAGACCAATGTAGAAAAACATGTAATGGAGTCTGAGCTAGACATTCAATACGAACAAAACAATTCGATTCTACAATCAAAGCATCGACCATATTCATCGTCATCCTCCTCATCATACGCTAATACCACTAACAATATTACATTATAGTTTAAAGAAATCAATAATTTATTTGTAAATATCCATTTTTCAATATATATCAAAGACAAAACTTAAGGATAAGAGTTATCATGCATAATTTAACTGTGAAGTACTAACTTAGTTCTGGAAAACTTCTTTCAAGAACTCTTCTTCTTCGGAATTATGCATAGCCTTAGTTCCAGCAGCTACAGAAGCTGATGGATCACGACCGGCATAACGTAAAGATAAATCCTTATGTTTCTCAGTATTTTCTAAGACAGTTGTAATACGTGGAGCAGAGTAAGAGTAGGAACCCATGTTCAATGGTTCTTCTTGACACCAGACTAAGTCTTCCAATGCAGGGTAGCTGTCTAAAGCATCACGTAATTGAGCGAATGGGAATGGGTGTAATTGTTCAATTTTGATGAACGCAGTAGACTTATCTTCAATGTCAGCACGTTTCTTGTGTAAGGCAGTAAAAACCTGACCAGAACAGAGAATGACACGTTTTATGTCTTCCTTAGCATTAATACTCTTACCTAATTCAGGATCTTCAATGATCCATTGGAAGTGAGATTCACCAGTGAATTCAGATAATTCAGACTTAGCTAATGGGTGACGTAATAATTGTTTAGAGAAGAATAAGACCAATGGCTTTCTGAATTGTCTATGCATTTGACGACGTAACAAGTGGAAAATATTTGCTGGTGTAGTTGGGTAAGCAACCTGCATGTTGGCATCTTGATGTTGTCTTTCTAACAATTCAGGAGATGGGAAATATCTTTGATCTTCATTACATAATTGTAAGTATCTTTCGATTCTACCGGAGGAATGTTCCGGGCCTTGACCATCATAACCATGTGGTAATGAAAGGACTAAACCAGAACGTTGTTTCCATTTAGACTCAGCAGCAGAAATGAATTGATCAACGATGACTTGAGCAGTATTAGCGAAGTCACCAAATTGAGCTTCCCATTGAACTAAAGCATCTGGAGAGGTTAACGAGTAACCATATTCGAAACTCATAACACCGTATTCTGATAACGAAGAGTTACAGATAACAAAAGCACCTTGATCCTCAGATAAGTTATTTAATGGAGTGTAGGTCTGTTCAGAGGCTTGGTCATGTAAAACAGCATGACGTTGAGAGAAAGTACCTCTTTCGACATCTTGACCAGAAACTCTAACATGGTAACCTTCTAATGCTAAAGAACCATAGGCTAAGGCTTCACCAGTCGACCAGTCAATACCTTCACCGGTTTCAACAGACTTCTTTCTGGCATTCAAAATACGCTTCAAGTTACGGTGAACTTCAAAACCTTCTGGAGCTTCTGAAATAGCTGCACCGATCTTCTTTAAAGTGTCTTCTTCAACAGCAGTTGGCAAATGAGGTAAGACTTCGGTAGCCAATTCCTTTGGAGACTTGAAGTCTTCCCAAGCGGTGGTTAACCATTCTCTAGAAGTTGATTGGTATTCCTTCGACTTAGAGAACGACTCGTCTAAGATATTCCAAACCCATTTCTTATGTTCATCAATATCTTCCTTGGTGAAAGTACCTTCTTCAATTAATTGCTTGGTGTAGTAATCAATAACAGGTTTCTTTTCTGCAATCTTTTGGTACATCAATGGTTGAGTGAAAGCTGGTTGATCAGTTTCATTATGACCATGTTTACGGTAACCAACAAGATCAATAATAACATCAGTGTGGAAGGTAGCTCTCCATTCAGCAGCTAAGTTGAAAATAAAGATATTGGCTTCTACATCATCTGCATTGACGTGGAAAATTGGGGCATTAATGGACTTGGCAATATCAGATGGGTATAAGGTAGATCTGGCAAATCTTGGGTCAGTAGTGAAACCAATTTGGTTATTAACAATAATATGGATAGTACCACCAGTTGAATAATCTGGTAAGTTAGCAAGACCCATAGTTTCATAAACAACACCTTGACCAGAGAAAGCTGCATCACCATGTAATAAGATGGACATAGCCTTTTTGTATTCGCCAATGTCATTCTTGTATTGTTGAATAGCTCTAGTCTTACCTAACACAACACCATCTTCGGATTCTAAATGAGATGGATTGGCAACGAGAGACAAGTTAACGTGCTTACCAGATGTAGTTGGTCTAGCGTAGTTCATACCTAAATGATACTTAACATCCCCGGAACCTTCGTCAAATTCTCTTGAACCAGTGAATTCAGAGAAAATAGATTCATTTGGCTTACGAACAACATTAGATAACATATTCAAACGACCTCTGTGTGGCATACCAATGACAATGTCTTCAACTCCGAATTCAACTGAGGTATCAATCATTGCCTTCATACCTGGGACAACGGATTCTGCACCTTCTAAACCGAATCTCTTGTCGTTAGGGAACTTACTAGCCAAGAATGATTCAAAAGAACAAGACCAAATCAAACGATCTAAAATTTGTCTCTTTTCATCTGGAGAATACTTGTATGGCTCAGGAATTTCAATTCTTTCCCTTAACCAGTCACATTGCTCCTTGGATGGGATGTGGATGTATTCAACACCGTATGATTGACAGTATAATCTTTCACAGTTTGAAATGATTTCTCTTAATGTTAACGATTTCTTACCACCTTCGGCAAATCTAGGTAAAATACCTGGACCTAAGGTGATCTGCTTGTCCATATCGGCCTCGGTGAAACCGTAATGTTCTAAAGTCAATTCCTTTGGAACAACATCGTTGTCACCAAAAGAGATTCCCAAAGGATCAATCTTGGCCTTTTGATGCCCTCTAACTTGGTATGCACGGACCAATAATTGAACCTTCAAGTGAGTGACGACGTCTTCGTTAGTTGGTGATGATCCTGGGACAAACCCGGCGGCACCTCCTGCTACTGTAGGAATAATAGTTGGTGGAGCCGTGAACGCCTTGGATGGAGGAACGTTGCTTGATTCAATGTTCTTGAAGTAAGCATTCCACGAAACATGCACACTGGATGGATCATGTTTCCAAGCAGCATACATTTCATCAATATAGTTGGCATTGTTGCTCAATAAAAACGAGTCTTGACCGGTAGCAAATAAACGAACAAATGGTTTTACTTGAGCTTTCATTAATTGAGCGCGAGGAATTGCGCTTCTAAAAGCCCTAAGCATTGTTAATAGATTATTACTTTAAATATATCCAAAAACTATCTAAAACTAATATTTATTTAGTTTATAGATCATTTAATTATATAAAGAAGGAGTACGAATAGTTTTTTAAACCTGGCCTAACGAAGCCTTTTAATTTGTCCGCGCTGTTTTCGTTGGAAAAAAAAATACCGACCGTCCCCGACATCTCCGGGGATAAATTTGTTCTCCGGTCATTCTCCAGGTTTAATGAACCAATGCTACTGCCAAACGTGATGCACATACCCGTAGCACTGAGAAAGATATACGGACGTCCGGTATGGAGCCGCTAAATGTAGTATAAAGTTAGTCAGGTTCATAATTAGGGTATGTTGCAGAGTTGCTGGGTAGACTGTAGTCGGTACAACTCCGCGAAAAGGTAATCCTGAAGTGTTGAATAGTAGAAATGGTTTCTTTACGGCATAGAACAGGGGTTCGTGGGGCAATATGGTAGGGTAGAATCATGAAAGGTGTTGACTGGAACCGGACGCCAGGATATTGGGGCAATAAAATGGATATTCAGTATTGCCGTTAACCGATACTTGTTTTTCCGGCATTGGCCTGCCCTCGGAGTTGATCTAATAACTTAATGATCTTTTTAGTGGCCAGCAGTTGATGCATTTCTGGGTTTACAAACTACGTCCGTCTACATAAAGTTAGAGGGGAACATGAGACGGAGGATATCACGACAGTGTTTTGGCCTGACGTCTAAAATCTGAGTGAAACGAAAAAAAAACTCCATAGCAGGAACCCCGGGGTTGGCTGCAATGTTCTCAGAACGTAAATACAGAGATATTTGCCACGTACTTCGATCAAGACTCGATAGGAGGCATGTAGACTAAGCACATTGCTAATAATTCAACATATTCAACATACATCCTGAACGAAAGGGTAGGAACAAGTAGAATAGGGCGATTTTATCGACGGCGGACTACGGATTCGGCGACAATCTGCACCAATCGAGAAACTATTTTTTTAGTAGACCGGCGCTCATAACCAGAAAAACGGCCTAAAGACGATGGAAGACCTCCTGCCATTGGGCATGTAGAAGGCCTTCCTCGACCAGACTCACGAGCTCATGAATAGCACACGGCATTTTCCTACGTTTCAAGTTATTGCAAAATAAATCACGGGGCACCATAAAATGCCATGAAATATCCCGTGCAATAACCCGAATCTCGCTACTACAGTGAATCGTTGGTGGCTCTGTATTGCTTTGAGCTCTATAACAATTCACATGAGACAGGGTTAACCCAATTGAAAAACCACATTGAACTATATACCCTGGAAACCTCAACAAAATGAAAATATAAACAAAGAGGATGTATTAATACAGAATTGTAACTAAATTGACATATTAATTTATGCTTCTTCGTCGATAACACCACGTTCGGAAACATAGATACCATCCAAGAACTTACGGATATCCTTGTTTCTGACACGACAGACTTGTTGGATATCAGCAGCGTTTTGAGAAACAGCTTCTAAGGAGTTACCGGATAAGACAACTTCATCCTTTTGGTTAGCAGAAAATTCAACAGAAACACCATCGAAGATCTTGATTTGTCTGACTCTCTTTTCACCTAAGAAATTTCTGATTTCAACATAAGATTGACCATCAATTTCAACAACGTTAACGTTGATAGGGAAATGCGCATAGACGTATCTCATCTTGTACTTGTAACCCTTGGTGACACCAGTGATCATATTAGCAATTAAGGCCTTGACGGTTCTTAAAGCAGCAACGTGCTTTCTTTCACCGTTGTGGACAGTGATCTTGATAGCACGGTTGGTAACCTTAGTGAAGGTAACATCAATGTGCTTTAAGTCCTTGTTTAAAGTACCTCTTGGTCCGGTAACAGTAATGCTTCTGGCCTTGATTTGGACGTTGACACCTTCTGGAATATCTAAGATTTGATCGGTTTGAATGTACTTCATTTTTGTCTGCTGATGATGATGGAGAAATAATAAATTTTTCACTAAAAAACTTTTTAATGAATATATATATACTCAGTAGAATGCCTGGCCGGAGACTGAAAAATTTTTCAAGTCGTGCAATTACAAATATGAATTTCCAAAATATTGGCGGATTCAAATATACACACGTTATACTGAGAAATACGCTAAGGGAACAACAATAGGGCTTTTACGAGATAAGCTTTACATAGTAATTAAGATGAAGTACTTCATTTATTCATTGGGTCATAGTCCCTATATAATTTATATATCTTGTTCATCTAACGTTTTGAATTCAGTTGGTTTAATGGAGTCGGGGAATGTAACACCCAATTCAAGTAAAGTACTGAAATTTTTGGCAAAATCACTGAAGAATAACTTTTCGTCATCGGCATACATTTTGACGTACTTGAGAAAGCTAGAGTCTTCCTTCAACGCCATGTCGGTTGGCAACATCATAAAGGAGTTGGTTTCGTCATCTTCAAATTGTTTCTTACCATCCCACTTTTTGACGTGCCAGTTTTGCAATAATCTGACAAAGAAGTCGTTAGTAAACATGTTGAAGGAAGGTCCCCATGGGCCGTCGTAATTGGTATTTTCCTTGTGACATTTACCTAAACAATGAGCACCAATTAAACACACAGTTTCACGTTCATTGAAGCCCATTCTTCCAAATATACCCTTCACATAATCTGCATCTTTAGAAGCATCTGGTAATCTACCATTTTCTGGAACTCTTTCCTTATCCGTGATATCTTGACGACCTGGTCTCCATTTGATTTTTGGTCCTCCACATTCTTGGATTGCAACCACCCCACCTAAAGTCCATAAATCACCATGGCTCAACCAGGAATACTTATCCTTAAACTCTTTCAAGAAATCTCTTCCATGGTTCAATCCAGCGTTTTCTCCATCAGTCATTTCAGGTTCATAGATCATGGTACCACCATATGACCCCCCCGTGTTATCCTCTTTCTTGTAAGTGCCACTTGTGTGCCATGCGAGACGTGTAAGTAAACCATAACGACCAGCACCATCATCTGCATCATCTTGGTCTCTGACCTTTTCGGCTATCTCATTATAAAGATTTTGATAGTCCTTGATTGACTTGCCCTTTGGAATGGCTGCAGTATTAACAATACCAGAACCAGCTAATAACTTTTTGTAATTGTTTGAAGGTGTTTTGCCATTCTTATTATTGTTGAAATAAGTAGTAGCCAAAATACCAGACCCAATCAATGTAGCAAGGAAGTAACCCCCGTACTTGGATTGTGACTTGTTCTTCCCATAGCTCTGGAAGACTTTTGAAAGTGGAACGCTTTGTCTTTTAAATGCAGCCGTAGACATCTTACTAAATTAACAAAGTGAATTTAATTGAATATTGTAGATATGAAATGTCAATTGACCTATTATAATGAGTTATTAATCCTTCAGTAATTGAATATAATTTATAGTGGAGAATTGAATGAATTTATATGGTATGTTCTACGCACGGAAGTCTATGACCTAGAAGGGGAGTCATTATTAATATCATCACCCGGAAATATCGCTCAAATTAGAAACTATTTGTTTTGCATAAAACCGTCCCATCCATTTCGATTTTTCCCTATATTACAAATACATACTTTCTATAGACCTCTAGAACCATCCAGTATTACTTATTACAACCGGCACCATACACTGCAATAGTTCTAGTATGTTTCTTTATAGAGTGCAACTTGCAACCTAGAGGTGCATGCGACTCGCGCTACTCAAGTTTGCTAATATGGAAAAGAGCGAATATGATTGGCCCTTGCAACAATAGGGTCTAGTAATGAAGTGATACTTTACAAAATAAGTAATACTTTTAATTATAATTTTAGGGAAATATTAATAAATTAGAGTTTAAACTATATTACATTCAAATTTTAGACGAAAGGAAATTTTCAACGGTCGTAGCGTCTTCGTAAACCCAAGAACCTTCTTCATTGTATGCCTTCGCATTTGTACACATCAATTGTAAGCTATCCATAAATGATTCGAAAGACTCGAAATTTTCTTGTTTCAAGTTCTTCTTAATTTGATTAATTGACGTTGGCTGTTTGATTACCTGGTAATAATCTGGATAGAGTTTTCTTGAAGGCAACGACATGAAAATCTCCGAAATGTTGTGGCCATCGGCTTCTGCAGTTAATTGGCAAAGTTCGTCGAGTACGTTAGTACATTTTTCGACCAACTCATTCGAGTCATCAGCTCTTTCCAATTCCGATATGTCGTCATCATTGTCTGTATAGCCATTGGCTTGGGGAGTAGTTGAACGACGAGATCTTTTTCTTGGTCTCAAATTCTCCTCGTCTAGGTCGCCATCCACTATATCTTCTTCATCATCACTCAATGGATCAGCAGACTCTCCTCTATTCTTTCTTCTTTTTGCAACTCTAGCTTCTTTACGCCTAATGGCATCTTCGACTGTATCATTGTCATTGTCCATAGCCATCAACCATTGCTCTTCAGTTAAACCATCATCATACTTCACCTTTTTCTTGTCTCTCATACGAGTTAATTCTTTAGTGTCTTTCTCGAAATGATGTGATACGTCCTCGGTGAAAACAGTAGGCAACTCGTCTTTTTCTACTAGTCTTGATTTAGGACCTCCTTGTCTGGATGCGAGTTTTTCATTTATCATTCTTTCGTTATCAATTTGCGCGAATAATACCTTCTCATCTTCTGAACGTGCCAATACTTCATTCAACTCTTCATCATCTAATGAATCATTTTCTTCATTGTCATCATTACTAGCCTCTGCTTCTAATAATCTCTTTAAGAAAGCTTCTTGCTCTTCGGAAGTCGATTTGTTATCGAACTTACCTGCTTGAATAACTTTACCATCAATATCTAATTTTTGATGTGCTCTTTCCAAAATGACTTCTTCGACAGAATCGTTGGTAATCAATCTCAAAATACGAACCTCATTCTTTTGACCGATACGATGCGCTCTATCTTGAGCCTGTAAATCTTGATGTGGATTCCAATCAGTATCAAAAATAATAACGGTGTCTGCTGTTTGTAAATTCAAACCTAACCCACCAGCTCTAGTGGACAAAAGGAAACAGAAATAGTCCGAATTAGGTGCATTGAAATGCTTCAACATATCCTGTCTATCTTCCGCTTTTGTAGCACCATCAAGCCTTAAATATTTCATGTCACGCCATCTCAAGAAATCTTCCATAATATTCATGACTTGAGTCATTTGGAAGAAAATCAACACTCTATGACCCGAAGCTTTGAATTTAGGTAAAACTCTGTCAAGTAATTCGAACTTACCACTAACTCTCCAAATTAAATCATTAGTCAAACGGGTCGAGTTTAATACGGTTTCGACTTCCTCGAAAACGAAAGGATGATTACAAATTTTCCTCAATTGCATAATCTTATTGTTTAAACCCTTAATACCAGACTTTGCTCCTCCGACATCAACACCGACAAATAACGCATTGTGTTTCAACATTTGTTGATATAAGACATATTGCAAACCAGATAAGTTACATTTAAGAACTTTTTCAACTTTGTCAGGTAAATCTTTTTCAACATCTTTCTTCAATCTTCTTAACAAGAATGGTCTTAAAACTTTATGCAATCTTCTAATAACTAATAAGGATTCTTCTTCAGTTAATTCAATCTTTTCTTGTGAACCTGTATTAGCAAATGGTGTATTAAACCATTCATCGAAAGATTTAACGGAATTAAAAATCTTTGGCAAAACGAAATTTAATAATGCCCACAATTCAGGTAAATTATTCTGTAATGGTGTACCAGTCAAAATCAATCTATTTTTCGTCTTATAATAGTTCTTCAAAGTAATAGATAATTTAGAAGTTGCATTCTTCATTCTGTGACCTTCATCAATAATCATGTGAGAATAGTAAAATTTAGACAATAAAGGCCTTTCTCTTATAATATATTCGTATGTAGTCAAAATAACCTGAAACGCGCCAGATCTAACTTCTGCTTGCATGGATTTACGTTGTTGCTGAGATCCCTTGTAAACAATAACATCAACAGTAGGTGCCCATTTTTCAAACTCCATTGTCCAATTTGTAATTGTTGACAATGGAACCACAACCAAAAACTTATCTTCATGCTTCCTTTCAATTAAATAGGTTATTAAAGATATCGATTGAATAGTCTTACCTAAACCCATCTCATCTGCAAGAATACCATTCAATTTATTATTGTATAATGATACCATCCATTCCAAACCCTTTACTTGATATTCTTTCAAGGTACCTCCTACAAGAATAGAAGGTTGTTCTTTTATTTCTTCTTTGACTCTATGGGCTACTTGATAGTAATCTATCTTTTCTCGTAATTCCTCTACATTATCTTCTTTTTCAGGAACGGCTTCATCCTCGATGTGTTTCTCACCTGAAACATCATCCGCTCCTTGTTCGACTTGTTGAACCTTAACGGCTTGAGCCAAAGAGTCCAAGAATGTGTTGGTTTGCTTTAATAAATGCGTAATTCTGTGATCTTTTGTTTGATCCAATAATTTAATATAAGCCTCTTCATCGTTTGCTTTCAAAGCTTGCAAACGCTGTTTAGCAGTTTTTTCCAACTTCTTAGATTCATCCTTTTCGGTAACAGAATGGAACAGATTGATGGCTCTAGAAATAGATGAAATTTTATTTAAGCGGTTAAGCCTTTTATTTACAAAATCTTCGGAGTTGATTAAAATCTGTTGAACTTTTTCAACGTGCAATGCGTGCTTTATTCTATTGGCTTCCAATTTACGTTTCTCTTCTAATTGGGAAGCAAGCAAATGTGGATTTGGTTGAATAATTTTTGGCCTGATATATATAGATCTTCTTGCTTGCAATGTTAGTGGGACTTTGTTTAAATCCGAATTATCATAATGTGAGTTTGTTGCTTGGCTGATAATTAGGTTTTTCTTTAATTGCTTTTGCTTTGCCAAAAGTTGTAATGATTTTAATTCAATCAAGGCCTTAATTTTCAAATCATCGTAGTCGGCTTGACTCTTTAAGGAATCAGTTTTGAAAGTACCTAAGTTTGCAGGCAAATTTTCAAGCTCCCTTATACGGTTTGATATCTTAGATGAGATCATTTGTTCTGTATAATAATTACCAACGGGAGCATGCATTGGATTGATCGAGCCAAGAGGTTGAGGAACCTTGATTCCCAAAGATTCAGCCCTTTTCATGAAATCATTCAAATTCGATTTGGATCTTAGAAACGCCTCAATGAATCTGTCTGTATCCTTATTACGAGCAGACTCACTCTCGGAATTTATCACGGATTCATAATCCTCTTGTAACGATTCCGGTAAATCCAAATCCTTCGACAAGAACTGCAAACCGGCAATTTGTTTCTCCAACAATTCTAAATCCAACGATTCTTCGGATTTTTGTGCTTTTATAGATTCGTAAAACGTCTGTTCGTTTTTGACAAACTGTTGATATTGCTCACTAATCTTGTAAAAAACATTCTCAATCGCTAACCTCTCCTCCTCCGTAGGGTCCTTGAACACCGGCCTCACATCACTGGATGTTCCCTTGAAATCGCTTACACCATTCTCCTTATTTTCAAGGTATTTAACGAAATTATCGTGCTTTTCCTTCGCTTCATTTGACGCTTTCATCAATTGCTGATATTTATGTAATAATGCGTTTAGCTGCTCTCTGGTCTCAGGAAACGATACAGAAATAGCCTGACGTGACACAGACATCTCGCCACCAATCCCGCTACCGTTGTGTAAAACGTTTCCGTTAGTTACGATCGGCCCTTCACTCATGTCCGCTTTTTCTAATAGTCAATAATTGCGTAAGAAAGTGAACGAATAAATGTCTTCTCTTTAGGATATAGACTGAATTTGCTATTATTATATAAACCTGTAACAATATACGCTATCCAGTTAATAAATAGCCTCTAGATTCCCGAACTATCTAATTGATTGGATCTAAAATCAAGTAGTGTTACGATTTGGTTGAGTTTTAATTAATCCTCACCAAATTTTCCGCGTTTTTGTGTCCGGTCGGCAATAATGACACAAAACCACAAAGGCCATGAAAATTTCCCGAGCAAAGGAAGATCATACTATGATTAATCTCTTAGGTTGACATTGAATAGGAGGTTCAGTATTTGTATAAAGAAAGAAAAACTATAGAATATGCTTATGCTCAAAAATATTGGGATCTACAATAGGCTGATCAATACGATTGGCAGATCGGTTCGTTTTAATTCAAGCGGAAGGTCGTCGTTAAATTGGGTTGAGTACTTAAACTTGAAGAAACAAAATAATAGGCTTAATGTGGCATCATCGGCATTTACTAGTTTAGCTGGTGCGTTTATAACGTTGACTTACTTAGGAAACATTGAAATACAGGTCGATAAGCCGATCATGGGATTGGACCCGTTTATGGTAATGGGTGGTGCGGTCATCTTAGGTGGTGGTGTAGGATACTTATTTGGACCATTCATCGGTACTGCGTTATTCAGCTTGAAGAATAAAGCGGCCATGCATCAATTCAAGATAAAAGACCAGATTTTCTTGCAAAAAATTAAACATCACAGGGTGGATCCATCGTCGCAATCTTTCTCTAATCCAGTTCCTGATTACTATGGAGAAAGAATCTATTCGTTGAAGGATTACAAGCAATGGTTAAGAGATTGCAATGCTTTCAAGAGAAAGGCTAAGGAATTCCTTTAATTCACCTGTGGGAATTGTCAGACTGGGACCCAAAGGTCAAAAGTCAAAAATATTGTATATATTCACAAGTATAGGCTCGCTAATGAATGACTATAATCATGATATGTTAATTACTGTATTGTATCTATAAAATCCGGCTACCATGGTCTCTTCTTTGTATTTCTGAACCCGTAGGTTCTTGGTAATTCCGCACTATGAATGATGCTACGTAATTAATTTTTTCTCCGAACATCAATAGATCTAATCAGATATAATCAGACATAATTAGTAGTAGATAATAATGACATTGAAAGTGGCATTTTTAGGCCCGGAAGGCACTTATACTCACCAAGTATGTATGAATATTCAGAGCAATAAACAATATACTTTAGGATACAACTAACGATTAAGGCATTAATCCAACAATTTGGTACTGAGTCAAATGTTGAAATATATTCCCAGACAGCCATATCTGACTGTTTTCAAATACTCGACTCAAAAGAAGTCGACTATGCAGTAGTTCCGTTTGAGAACTCAACTAATGGACAGGTGGTATATACTTATGACTTACTTAGAGATTGGTTCATACCGTCGAGTCAGGACCAAGACACCCAAGAGAACCAACATATAGCCCCAAAATTTAGAATTGTTGGCGAACAATTTGTTTCAATTCATCATAATTTTTTATCTAATGCCAATTCCTTGGATGATATAACAACGATTTATTCACATCCGCAAGTATGGGGTCAAGTAACCAAATTTTTATCAAAGCATATTACCAAAAAGATTACCAAACTTGATACTGATTCAACCTCTAAGGCAGCCGAAATTGTATATAATGATAAGTCTAGTACAAGTGCATGTATATCTTCTAAGATCAGCGCAGACTTATACCAATTACCAATACTATTTGAAAATATCGAAAATTCTTCCAATAATACCACAAGGTTTTTGGTGTTGGGTTACGATGAGATTAATTCACATCCGCCAGAACCGGAGAATGATTTACGTCCAAAGACATACGTTACCTCGATCATTTTCACTTTGAATCATGATGATCCTGGAGCATTATGTGCGGTGTTAGACACATTCAGGAAGAACAACATCAATTTAACGTCAATTAACTCCAGACCTTCACATTTAAAGCAATGGCAATATGTATTTTTTGTAGAGTTAGTTGGAAGCATAGATGATGAAAACGTATCAGCTAGTATAAATAGCTTAACTAGTAATTGCCTAACGTTGGAGGTTCTAGGATCGTTTCAAAGATGTTGGAGGTATTGGAGTGAACAGTAAATAGGTGAATAGCTACAAGCACTAATAAATTCGTAGTGAAATCGATTCATAATTAGATAGTATACAATATAAAAGCAACTTGGTTAATTACCAAATTTTTGATAACTCCATTCTCTGTTATCTAATGGACATACATTTCTAGATTTTAACCACCTAGCAATACAATGCATATGGAAAGCATGATTGCACATTCCCCAAGCTGCAATACATTCTTCATTTGAATTATTTAAAGTATTAGGCTGGCATTCTATGCATGGTTCCATTAAATGATTTCTGCAAATTGCACAAGTCTCCACAATTATATCTAAAAAGTTAGTAGGAGTTCATAATATAAAATAAATATCAATAGTACCATTATTAGATTGTGATACATACCCCAAGACCAGAAGGCGACAGCTGTCCATTTCTTTACTTCGAATTTCTGCTTTGAAGATTTTGATTTTGACTCAATTTGTTGTTCATTTTCAAGATCTATTTAGTAAAGTCCGTTAGTATTTTATTCCAACAATATAAACACCAATTCGTTACTTACTACTATCGATTTCCATAAGATCGTCACTCATTATACAGGTTATATTTGTATGGAGATTATAGAAAAGGATAAGAATTAAAAAGTAAGATTTAACCAAACAGGTAGCGATTTTTGAAGTGCGATTCTTACTAAAACGAATGTAACTCAATGAAAGTTTTATATAGCAGCTTCTTTTTAAAATTAATTATAGCACCATGACGAGCACTAACGAGGATATAATATCTTCTTTGTACCCACCACCACCTCCCTACTTTAAATATTTCACAGAAGAAAATTTAAACAACTTGGAAATATGGAAAAACAAGGCCCAAGATGAAATGCAAATAGATAAGACGGACCTAGAACAGGTAAAAGAAGACCAAGATATTAAAGCACCAGGCCAGTTGAAGTTCTTAGTTCCACCTAAACAGCCGGATGGAGACCATTATAGGGGATTTGGTAATTTATGGTCGTTTGAAGATAAATTACCAGGCTTAAAAGAACTGGGATGGACTCAACTATACAAAGATGACGATGAATTGATTACTTCAAACACTAAGATAGCTGAATTACACAAACTAATGGATTCATTATTACTTAACTTTTTGGAATTAATTGGCGTGGTGTCTATTGATCCTCAACAATTTCACTATAAAATTGAAGATTTGAAGTTAATTTTGATAAACATAAATCATATTTTAAATACATATAGACCTCATCAATCCAGAGAGAGTCTAATAATGCTACTAAGGAAGCAAATTGACATGAAAAGAAACGAAATCAGCGAAATTGATAAAACTAGTGAGGATATTAAATTGAGAATCTTAAAACTAGTTGATACGAGCTATATTAGCGATCAAGAGGATGTTAAAAGCGAACATGATTCGACCGAAGATGAAGAGAGTATCAAAAATAACATAATACAAAAGCTATTGAATCAGAATGTATAGATATATATGTATATATATATATGTATATATATTACTTATGTATTGTTTACGGATCACAAAAATGGCATATATATAAGACTGTAACGTTAAAAGAGATCTAAAAGATCATTGTTTAGTTTATTTTGATTACTAGATGATGACGAAGTATTATTGATATTTAAATTATCAATGCCTTGTGTCAAGTTTTGATTTTGTTGACTACTTTGTGGAGCTGGTGTCTTGAATAAGTCTAGTATATCATTTGTTGAAGACTGTATAGGTTGCGTTGGTTGCGCTTGCGAAGGCATCGCAGGAGCTGAAAATAAATCATTTAGTTCATCTAGCAACGAGGAAGAACCGTTACTAGAACTATTATCAGGTTTAACTTCATCATCGTCAAAATCAAGTAAATTCTCATTTTTAGAATTATTAATAATCTCTTGTTTTGCTAAATTAGTCAAATCTTCGATGTTTTCATCTTTGTTCAGGGATTTAGATCTTCTGGTTGTTACTTGGTCACTAGGTAAAGGTGAATATAAGTTAGGGTCAATAAACGTAAATGACGGTTTGTGATACACCGATGCTAAAGTAGACAATTCCTTCACCAAAGCTTCTAATACGACTGGATTGAATGAAGCAATTGTGGTTTTAATTGGAGGTAATTTAGTTAAAACGATTTGTTTCTGAGATTCTTTCGACGAAGATGACAACAAACGCCAGTATATATATGCTTTGTCTCTAACATCTGCATTTTCACAATCTTTGGTAGCCATTTCTAAAACTTTTTGCAAATAATTAGAATACGTTTGATTCTCAATCGACAAGTTTATTTTGACAATTGTGGTCAAAATGTTTAGCTGTAACAAAGATTCGTAATCTAAAAAGCCATCGATTAAATCCAGCAAATTTTGTTTTAATTGTGAAAAATATTTTGGATATTCACCTAAGAGCCAAATGTATCCAGATAAGGCTTCGTTCTTGTTTAGTTCCGATGTATGATTTGAAATAATTGGAACAATTAGAGTAATTAAATCATTTTTACCTGGATAACGTCTCAAGATGTTTGTTAAAACAATAATTGATTCATTGATAATTAAATCCCCTCCTCTTTGGTCAATTAAGTTACATATTAAGTTAACAGATTTAATGACACATCCAGTCAACTTGATCGCAACCGTACCAATTGACCTGATTGCTTTTGCTACCAAGGAACTTTCAAATTCCATGGCATATTCTTTTAACTCTCCCAATAATAAAGTACTATTACTGTCGTTGGCTAATCTTACCATAATTTCCAACTTCTCTAACTTCAAGTATAGTGGGTCGGAATACTTGATGAAGAATACACGGAGCTCCTTTGATAAAATTTGTGGATATTTTTCTAAGATAATTCTAATGTTTTTCAAACCCACGTATTGCGCTTCAGGAATTGAGGACGAGACTAATGAAACCAACGGAGCAGATAACTTTTTCAAAATCGAAGACCTTTGAGCAGTTACTGAAATCGAGTCCAATTGATTGATGATCGCCTTAATCGAAGATAAAACCACTGAAGGATTAACATGTTGTAATTGCGGTATAATTCTTTCAATGATGTGATTCGCCTCATCAGACGTTTCAGCCTTATAATCATTTAAGGTTGTTAAAATTGTTATTCTACCCCATTCGGTGCATTCATTCAAACACATTAATAAATTACTGACCATCCCTTTATTAACTTCGATGATTTCTAAATCTGGATTGGTATTCATGTCTTTTATTTCAAACAACGCATTCAATGCATTAGCAACAACCATTGGATTAGGATCTTTAATCAATTTCGATAACTCACTTAAAAAGCCAAATTCAATACATATTTCAGAATTCAAATCGAATAGTTTGGCTACACAAATTGCTGCTGTCTTTCTCACATATGGGTTATCATCCTTTAACGTCCTCAGTAATGGGATTTCCATATAATCAACCATCTTCGCTACTCTGATACATCCCATAGTACGTATTGCTAACGCTCTGATTAAGGGATTTGGATCTTCCGTGTCTTGAACAAATGTATTCACAGCTAATATACATAATTCAGGATGTGTCTTTGCATAATTCATAAGGTACAAATAAACCAATTTCTTCTGTTCCAAGTCATAAGTCGCTATATTTTTTAACACATCCGGAAATAATGCAGAAACATCTTTGCCAACCGTCATGGCTTGGATTACACGCTGAATGGCATCTTTTCGTTCACCTCTATATTGCGAAACTAATCCATTCTTTAATTCAAAAGTTTCACCCTTTCTTGGCCCTTGCAAGAAATTCCGAATCTTTTTTTCTAATGACATACTTATTGTGTTGGATAAGACTATATTGGTTAGTTGACAAAGTGTTGATACTATAAATTTTGAATCAACAATAACAGCGTTTCAATCACGTGAAAAATTTGATAGATGGTTAACCATATAACATCAACGATCGGTACAAGCAACAGACTTATACTCAACATTGAGGGATGGTCGTATATGGAAAGGCCAATAAAAGGAGAAAAGGGATTAATTTACCCCTGGAGGTGCTGATATTTTCGAGCGATGAAGAAGAACATACTGTTAAAACTCTTGAAAGTGGAAGTAGGCTATCACAATTAATGCAAGAAACCACAATGGAAAGGCCCATGGAAGGTGAACTACTACCTTCCGCTAGCATAGATAAGGGGGTTAAGAGGTCGCCCAAAAAATCACCCAGGAAATCGCCCAAGAAAATAGATGACGCGTTAGTCGAAGATCACTTAACCAAATCTCCAAAACGATATACCAAGGTAATCGATTCCCTTATGAATAGTCCGAATATGAGAATAGAATCACATCCGGGATCTCCAAGAAAGAGAACAGAACCGCAGAAGAAAATATTAGAGCTAATTCTGCCGTCATCGTCCCCAAAAAAGGTGATTTCGACACCTAGGAGTGATATTTCGTCCCCAGGAAAAACACCAAAATCTACGCCAAATGAAAAAGATGCATGGAACGACTTATTTGAAAATATCGACAGTTTTGAATCCAAACCCGAAAAGTTAGAAGCTTATTCTAGGAGAAATGAGATGAAACAAGAAAGCCAGGAAGTAATTGGACTGGTAATCAATAATATTGATTTAGATGGGATATATAAGTCGTTGAATCAAGAGGTAGAAATTGTGCCGAAGCCTGCTATGATTAAATCTAAATTAAACAGCATGTCACTGAAACACAAGACGTATGGTGAACAGAGAAGCTATTTATTGGAACAAGAAGAAGCTGAATCATTGGAAGAACATCAAATTATAAATAAAGAAATGATCAGTAATTATTATGACTATCAAGATTCATTTAAAGATACTGTTAACATAAACGATTTGCGAAATTTGGGCAAGAGGAATTCAGATAAAGAAGAGCTTGAATATTTATTGGAAGGACTCATTTTCAACGGAGGTGAAAGAATCGAAAATAATAACCAAATATTGATAAATTCATTGATCGATCTAAAATGTTTTAATAAGGAATTTTTAATGAGGAACTGTAATCAAATTGTCAGAAGACTAGATAAGCTATTGTTTAAATTGACGAAATTTACTCCTCAAAACGGTGGAGAGCTAATAATATCCTTGATCCAGCAAAACCTTATTTGGTTTTTTAGCCAGACCTCTAATAAGGAGGTTATAGATCAAGTAGGGAACGACAGCATTGAATTATTATTCGGGTCATTTTCCTTTGAAATATCTAGCTTACATGTTCTGAATGTTACGAGAGATAATCTAATTCATTTCATGGATGATATTGGATGGATAGATATTACCGAATTACTAATTGACCAAGAAAGAATATACAACCCTAAAATATTTGCCATTATCAAATCTTCGACTCGACCCAACTTGAAATATTTTGAGAATTATTATCAAAGGTATCCTACGCACAAAATATACGAAATAGAGGCCCATATAAACAAGTCCTTTAGTAATATAGAGAAATTTAAGGTCGAGGCTAATGAGATGAGTATAATGAAAATATTAGTGTTGGTGAGCACTAATGGAAACCAATACTCCAAGTCGCATATAGAGCCTTTGCTTAAGTTAATTAACCATAATTATGACAATATAATTAACAATACGATGGATGACAATATAATAAATGCGTCATTGTTCGCAATGGGATATATAATCAATATAATTGAGGATGATAAGAATATTCTGTTGAGTAATCTTAATTTACTAAATAATTCAGAACGGAAGATTCGGTTGATCAAATCAACTACGGAAATAGTAGACCACTTAATTGGGTACAATAGTATTATTTTAAGCTTTTTTATTTCGGATCTCGATCTAAAACGGTCTCACATAATCCATTATTTGAAAAAATTTAATCATACCATTAATAACACTATTATAGAAGAGAAAATAACCACCATAATTTCCAAGCTATCACATTAGTTGTTTACGTAATACTTTGCAGCAAGACTTAAAGTAGCAATTATACCGAAAGTATTCTGGCCATCCTTCTTATTCACATGCGACATATATAAGGTTTAAAGGTAGGTTTCAGAGGCAGGTTTCAGAGGTAGGTTCTGGGAATACATGCTGACCAGAGTCTATATTTGTCGTATTCTTCTATACAGTTTTGAGAAAATTATATCCATTAACGGAAGGTTAATATATACTAATCCAGTAGGGAAGATATTAACAGAAACTGTGGATAAATAAAAGGGTTAATAGGTTGCATAAATCTATAAGCTTATGCCGTTCATGCCGGCAAAAATGCTAATAGAAGAATGGTTTGAAGCTGTACAAAATTTTTCAAGCACATATTTGAAAGATTGAGCAAATAAGTAATGCATAGTATCCCGTATTATACAGCAGATTAACCCTACCTTCCGAAAGCATTATTCTAAGTGACCACTATGCATATTCATAAACGGATAGAGGACTAAATATTCAAAGCCGAAAATACCGATTTTTTTCTCGCATACGAGTGCGGGATAAACGGCGTAGTAGGAGTATATATAAATATGGAACTCACTATACGTCTATAATAACTTGCTTGATCCATAATTCAGTAGATACAACATGATTAATAGACTTAAAACAGCATACCAAATTTATGTTTATTCAACACCCATACCCGTTTTGTCAAAGGAAGAGACTATTATATTGAATACGATCATATCGATTCTTCTTTCGGTTATACTCTTTTGCATCCTAAATATTCTTAAAGCAGTTACGGTCAATTCAATCGAATATGGATATTATATTATAACTGGGGACTTTATTCCAATAAGTGCCTTGCTGAATACACTTCTAGCAACCAGGTTAATGTCACAATATAAGGTGGATTTGTTTGGCAATGTATTATCCAGTAACCAAACAAGCATGTAAAAAACTGAAGTTAAGCAGCGCCAATTGTCAATGTGTTAATAGTACGAGAAATAGTATTAATAGCATGAAGAGCTAAGGTGAATCGTAACATGCGTTGTGGTGTAATTGAGCGCATGCACCATACAGAAGGATTTAATAAATGATATGTCTTCCATCAATATTCCGTCGTAGTTCGTGAAATAAGGAATGCAATTCCAAGAAAATGTGATTTCGATGTAGTAGTTGTTTTATATACCTCAAAACTTATGATATCAGATTAAAGAAGTTATTTATGTTGCAGGATTTGATCTTGGTCATAACTCTTTATGATTATTGATCCCTAAGCTGTTTCACATTCCTAAAAATAACATAATAAAGCATTTATTCATCCCCTATATATAATATATGTCGTGGATGTGATGGAGTATAATTTTCATTTAGTTGAATAAATCCCAGTTCTTGATATCGTAATTTTCTCCAGCAACTTTGAAAATATCATAATACTTATCCATTACAACTTTTATATCTGATTCACCAACATGCATTGAAATAACGATATCAGTTTCAACTTTACTTAACCGTATTAAGCTAACTAAATGAATCGAATTGTTGGAATTCACATAACATGTGTGTATTTTAGTATTTAAGACTTTCAGGTCAATTTCCTTCATCATTGTAAATTGATTTGTTTCCAACATATCGTCAATATGCATTCTTAAGGCCGTATTGATATCTTGTGTATCAACTTGTTCTAACAAATCAAATATTATTGATACGTCTTTGTCTCCATCTTCTATTATAAACACCTCTTGATTATCAGGAACTTGCCTCATATCTGAGACATCTACTATACCAGTTGGTAATACTGTAGTGACTGTTCCCCCATATAGCTCAAACATTTTGATTAACGTTGATTAATGATGCCAACTTTGTTTAATTTTCTATTTTTGATATCGCATTATGAGAATTTTTTTGGGACTTCAAAACAAAAGAACAGCTAATGGTCCTTTGCAAGTCATGAATTTTAATAAACGAAAAAGACCTATCGTGATAAGTATAGTAGTGATAGCGATACTATTAGTACTCACAAAGCTATTAACTTTACCTAAATCGAGTGAGAATTTCCAGAAAGTGTTTCAAAACATTCCTAATGAAAATATTCTAGGGATCTCTAAATTGATTTATAACGAGAATGAAAAGACACAAGATGAGTTTTTGAATAAATTAGAAAGATTAAACAAGAAGTTGATTGCTAAACAAGATGAGAGATTGATCCATTTGGAAAAAATGAACGAAAATCTCGTTAATCAGATTCGAATATTGAAAAATCAAAATCCAAACCTTTCATTAAGAGATAAATTGATATACTTATATCCATACGAGTCTGACGCGAGATTTCCAGCGTACATATGGCAGACTTGGAAACATGGTTTAAACGATGAGAATTTTGGCACGAAATACAAGGAAGGAGAACAGCAATGGGCGTATAAGAATCCTGGCTTTGTTCATGAAATTTTTAATGATGATACCGCTCATACCGTCATTAAGTATTTGTACAATTCGGTGCCAGAGATCATTAAAGCCTATGAGTTAATGCCAGAAATCATTTTGAGAATGGACTTTTTCCGTTATTTAATTCTCTACGCTAAGGGTGGAGTTTATGCAGACATTGATACATATCCATTACAACCAGTCCCTAATTGGATTCCAGAAAATGTATCACCTCTGGAACTCGGAATGATTATTAGCGTTGAGACTGATTCGAATCTGAATAACTGGAGACAAGAATTAGCACGTAGACTACAATTTGGTCAATTCATAATGCAAGCTAAACCAGGCCATCCTATTTTAAGGGAAATTATAAGCCGAATCACCGAGAAAACGTTAAAATTGAACTTAAAAGAGGAAGAAATCCCGAATGATTTAAAATTGTCTGGTAGTTCCAATCAAAAGACATTGAAAATATTAAAATGGACTGGTAGTGGAATTTGGACTGATGTGATAATGAATTATTTTAATAACTACATACAAAGTTCAATTTATCAAAAAATTACATGGCAAGAATTCCATGATTTGACAATTCCAAAGCTTGTTAGTGATGTGTTAGTTTTGCCTATAGGTTCGTTTGCGTCCCAATTAGAAATCCCAAAGAACGGAAAAATCAATGATCCTTTGGCATTTGCCAAACATTATTCTTCCAAAATTTGGAAAACTACATAGATCATTAAACAATTCCATCTACATATTTTACAATATATATTATTTAGTTATTTATTGTCGTCATCTAGAAATATTATTCTTAGTCATTATAAATTTCGTAAGTGAGGTTAAATGATCAACTCAACGTCCGACCTGTATGAACTTTCGAGTAGATATAAAAATACATACTACTTCCTTCTTATATCATATACCGAATCCAATGCTTAGACAAAGAACGACTATATTTAACCCAAGCGAATCCAATGATGGGATCATTGAAGCCGTCGATTCGTCGCATTTACAATTATCGTCAATTGACTATGAATGCGAAGACAAGTTTATCTTACAAACACCAAAATTCAAACACATTGATAAGCTAAGAATACAGCTAAATCAATTCCCTAGTGAACTGATTCTTTTCAGTAAATACCAAGCTGGGTTAAATATCTACTGTAAACCTAAGATTGACTATGAGAGTTTTAATCAAGAGGAATTTTTTGATGAATTGCATCAAATGATGAGCAATTTGTTTGATATTCCAAGAAATGGGTGGATTAATTCACTAGACACCTTATTTTATCATGAGCCTAGCACCAATTCTCAAAGATTTATTGAATATATTAGGAAATTGACGGGCAACGAGCAGAATGTGAATTTGGATGTTCTGCCGAATATCGAGTATGTTTATGACGGAGAAAAGGTTGTTCTTAAACTAATTGGAAAAAGTCTCGCTAATACCACGATTACTAAAAATTCAAGGTTCAATAAAGAAATAGGATTATTCCTCATAGAAAAAGGCATCAGTTCCGAAGATGACATCGTGTTATCGGGATTACGAGTTATTTTGAATGGTGACGATGACAAGAATGAAGAATATTTACAAAAAACGCTTTTTCATGTTAAAAGGAGGCAAAGACAATCAAAAGGAACGTATTCCTCACAAGTTGAAGAGAATGGAATGCACCCATTCTTAAAGACTAGTATTCATTCTGACATACCAAACCACGAAGATTTGATTCAATGTAAACTATACTACTATCTTGATTTAAACAAGTCATTATTTGTTGATAAATACCAATTACCTAAAGAATTCACATCATATGTTAATTTTGGAAATACGGATTTAGAATTGCCCGAGTATAAGATAAACGAATGGGGTTCAGAGATATTAATGGAAATTGAAAATCATCAGCAAATAAGTTTGCCATTACACTCAAGATATCAATTACCAAACAATGAAAGTAGCATAAGAGTAATTGATATCAATGATCCATTGATATTTTATGGGTGTGATGTCAAAGATTCATATTTGTTAGAGAGTAGTCCTTTTGATAATAGATTAGACATCGGAGGAAATTATGAGAGGTTTTTTACGGACAATACAGTTTTCTATCATCTCCTGTCTTCTGAGAATCAGTTACAGATAAACATACCTCGTGGGAATGAACTGATCAATAAAATTAATTACGTTACGAATTTAGTATTCATTGTTGGTGTGGTTTTGATTTTTTATAAAATAGTACAAGGTATCTTTAAGAGAAATCCAGTAACTGACACCAAAAAGAACGAATAGAGCAGCACAATTCAGCTAATGCACCTGGCCAAACTAGCCCCAGCTCGATATGATTCTGTGCTTGCAGAAGTTCACTGTTTGCAGCCCGGTCACGTTACATTTTGCAATTTCACCGCAACTACATACTACAAACAAAAATATGAACGTAAGGTCTCATTATAATGCAAATATAAATTTAAGCTACTCCAGCAGGCACGTTATATACTGGGTTTTTAAATGGTCATCAAACAGTAGTATTTCGTAGCGAAACACGGTATTGTTGTCGTAATTGTCAAGCGTAAGCTTTGTGAATTGTTGGAAAAAGTCGAAAAATCCAATCTTGACTTCGTTTATAATGCTCTGGAAATATGCACATTCGTTATTTATAAATGAAGACAGTTTACTTAATGTAGACTCGATCTGGTATATGTATTTCATTAATGTCGTGTAGTTGATGTTTGTGCCATTAGATATATTAGTGTTCTTCGCTTTTGCGGCATCATCGGTGAAGTTCTCTATATGGCTATTGAAATCAAACACCATGTCGTTTATTTCATCGAGTAAGTTATGCACACTGTGGAAATTTAACTCCTCAAACAATTTTTTCATGTCGCAGAGCGCCAGCATCATCGCCCTGCAATTTTCGAGTATACGGAAGTTCTTGACATTTAGCAAGATAGATAATCGGAGATGTGACTTAATTCTGTCGTAATTAGCTGCTAAATTGCCGTTGAAAGTACTTATTAACGACTGCAAGGCGTTGACATGGCCCAAGATATCCTTCACCATAAATATGCACTCATTCTGCTGCGACAAACTCATACGCCCCAAAGTTTGCACCGCGATTGGGGCAATGAGCCTTCCGTTGCTTATAGCAAAAAAATCTCTCATGTTTACCAAACTATTGGCAAAAAATTCTTCTACCACGAAGAATTCTTCCATCGTCTTGGTCTTATGCATTCCTGGTAGCTTCGCTATTATCTCGCCCACTGTCACTCTCTGTGAATCGTAGATACTTGTGTCATATTCGTCGTCGCCCCATTCGGTGTCTGAATGCTTGTCTATCCCTATGTCATTTACCAAGGAGAAAGACTCTATAGACTCTGACCTAAGGGTAAATTTTACATTATCCAAGCTAGTCGTGCTTATGGTCTTATACATTCTTATAGTATATTCGTTTTTCTATTATCAATATCCCAATTTTGACAGCAAATTCCTGTCTATTTCCAATAAATATACCCTATGTTAACATTTAGTCCTTATGAAAAATTTATGGTAGGATTTGTTCTACTTTTAAACTTTTTTTTTACCCCGAAAGGTGGAGCTTAGGCCGCCTCTGTTAAGCTTTGCAAGAAGCTTGAGAAAACCGCTGCTGGCGGATGTTTACATAAGAAAAAGACTATAGATTAGATGGAGGATTACGTAAGTATGGGACCTTGCTGCAAACTCTGCCCCACATTAGCCACACAGCAATCGGGGAATTATATAACTTAGTGATGAAAGCATGGCAATTCCGGTTGTTGAATACCGTTGGATGCAGAATCTCGTGGCTAATGGAGGCCCGAATTACTGGACTCCACTAGATAACCACATTTGACCAAACCGGGATATGTCTAGGCATAGAGGAGAACGCAGGTCAGAATACGAGAGTGACAAGGATAACGAGCGAAAGACCGAACGAACGGATAGAGGAGACAAATGTCAAATAGATAAGAGCAGGACGTACTAACGGTGAAAAAGTGAACGAACGGAGCACAGGAAGTAGATTAACGCAAGGATGGAGGTCCGAATACAACGTGAAACTACGGAGTCGCGGATAGTAGGGAAGAGTGGCTTGTGAGATAAGGCGTGGAAGCCGGAGCACCGGGGGGTGATTGCGCGAAGCAATTAACAAAGTCGTATGAGCCAAGAATAGCATGAAAACAATTTGCGGTTAGGTAGCGATCAGAAAATGCGATAACGAGAGGAAGGTGCACATAATACGGGTGGTATATGTATTGTACTCGTAAGGGACAATACCAAGGCTTCCGAGGGTACATTGAATCCAACAGATAGTATATGTGAATGAAAAGAGTATATTGGGACGATACACGACACCCAGATCTGGGGTAGGATGATGGTCTATACATACTATACGAGGATAATAGGATGCACGAATCTATAGGAAGTGCGGTTTTATATATGTAGCTATTTACGACAGAGAGATCAAATATATAATATGTATAATACTCTATAGGGACGAGATTGACCTACAATTCGTCCTTGGAATGGGCGGATGGTTCGGGAATGATGACTTTGTAGTCGATGAACAAATCGCCAAAATGGTCGTCTTCACCGGCAATTGGCATACCTTTGTGCGGGACGGTTTCAACCTCGCCGTTGATAACGACATCTCCCTTTGCACGCTGGATGGTTATTTCATGATCAATGGAGTCGAAGAACGGGATATGGCGCTTCCATCCACCGTGTGCTGCCTCCTTGAGAGTGAGCACTTCTGTTCTGTAGAGATTGTTACCGATCCGTCTGTAACCCCAGCTCGATGCAAACTCTTCCCGGAAAGTTAAGATAAGGTCGCCCGGGATCCAATCGGGATTCTGATCTCCCTCACCTTCCAATACTTGGTGGGAGTCTCGAGGCGCACCAGAAGGAACGTAGACATTATAGTGTCTTGATACTCTTTCGGTTCCCTGCCCACCACATTCTCTACAGTGATGTTTGATAGTTGTTCCTTTCCCGTTACACTTGTCACAATGCGTGTTGAATGTCTGGATCATACCCGGAGCCAACTGTCTTTGCATTTTGAGGAAACCGCTTCCATTGCATCGGTCACATTGGTGCTTCGACTTATCTTCAGACCCGGTTCCTTCACACGCGTTACAGATATTTAACATGTCCACATCGAAATCCACGTCTTTACCATTGTAGAAGTCGTATAATGAAAGATGCATGTTTGCCTTGGTATTGTCGCCTCGTCTCTTGCCTTTTTGTCTTGCACCTCCCCCACCAAAACCCCCACCGAATCCGCCAAAGAACTGGTTGAAAATATCTCCCAAATCCATATCATCCTGTTGTGGTCCATTGGGATCCCCATATTGGTCGTACTTGGCCCTTTTATCGGGATCAGACAATACTTCGTAAGCTTCACCTATTTCTATGAATTTTTCATGCGCTTCTGGCGATGGATTTTTATCTGGATGGTACTTCTTACTCAATTGCCTGTACGACAGCTTAATCTGTTTATCATCCGCATCTTTTGATAATTCTAGTATACCATAATAGTCCTTACCGTATACGAATGTTACAGACAATAGAATTATCCATCCTATAAGTGTGAGGAGCTTCATTCTTTGGCTTATATAGTAACAAATCTGGTAGATCTTTAAACACGTCAACAGTTATAAATAAGAAAAAAAATTATAGCAGATTGCAGTCACGTGATTGATTTGGATATCCAGAAATTTTTCAATGGCTACTTAGGCCTATATTAAGTATTGGTATTAACGAAGAAGCACATAATGAGCGAAGTGATCAACTTGTCGTTTTCGCAAAGAGCGAACCATATCCTGGCTCATTTATATAATAACCAGGAAGCACACCTTCCGTATAGCAAGACTGCAACTGTGGACTATGACAATTCTGTGTTCTTATCAACTTCCAAAAACCCAAATGGTACCGTAAATTATTCACCTCGTAGTCTCAATTATGACTTGACAAGAGGATATGGCTCATTGGGCAAGTATGAATATCATGAATCAAAAGCTAATATTTTGGGGCAATATGAAGTTATTCAGACTGGTGAAAAAATGGATAAGAATGAATATCAAAAAGCATTAGATAAGGGGATGAATAAATCGAATACTTTGAATGTGAATAATACCAAGTATTGGACAGACTACAATAAGTTGATATACAGTCCAAAATCGTTGAATCAATTGAATAACTGGGAATATCAACCCCATGACTTTGGTATAAATAGGAGTTTTCCAAATCTAAAATTTGATACGTTCAACAAAGGGAAAGAGGAATACCACCAATATTCCGAAGATAGTCTTGAGAATTTCAGAAATACCTTAGAGAAATGTGATCTTATACAAGGGGTGAATTTGATAAGTGAATTAGATAGTGCATGGGGAGGATTTACGAACGAATTATTGGTCGATTTGAAAGACGAATTTTTCAACAATGGCATAAATAGCAAGTACAACATATGGGTACATGGACTTATAAATCATAATTTGAATCCGAAATTGAATCAGTTGTATTCTAGAATCAATAGTATTATTGAATTATCGTTTAATTCGACCTTGTTTTTCCCAATGAATCTTAATTCTTCTTCAGAGTGCTTGGGAAGTGGGTATGATGAGACAAGCGAATGGCACAATTCTAGCATTCATGCAATTTTTTTGAATTCAATTTGGGGTCTAAATAACCAAATAAAAAATCCAGTCAAAATGAGTGTTATTGAAGATGAATTACTAAGAGGTTTTGACAAGAGAAACATTGTCAATGAAATAAAAATCCATAAGAATAAACAAGATAGTAATGATTTTGGAATGGTTGATATAGATAGAGCAAGCTTGTATAATTTGGTGGATAACATTAAAATTAAGGATAAGCCAAACTCAATTGATTTGAGTTTATCAGATTCCAAAAACTCTAAATATTTTGCTAAATCTTACATTATACCGAATGATGAAAGTCTCGCTGAATCTTTGAATAAGAAGGAAAATTTTCCAATAAACATTTATAAGAACAATAAGGTGAATGATATTCTTAATAATGATACATTTCCAAATATTATGGAAGATAAGTCAGTATACTCTGAATTTAGCTCAAGTAATACGTTGAAAAATGATTTAAAGTTCTATCGAGAGGTCATTAAAAGAAGCAGAGAAAATGAGGTTATTGAGGATAAGTTTGAATTGATTGAGAAGATTAGTGAATTAATTGAAGAGTATACGATTGGATATGATGAAAGCGATGAAGAATATGATTCAAACTAAATAATTGTATACTTAATATATACTTTAAAGATTAACCAACAGTCTTTTCAACTAAGTAAATACCGTAGTCATCCTTTAAGGTTTTCATAATTGGGTCGTTAATATCTGAGGACATTGGAGCTAATAATCCCTTGATATTTAAGGTGCCATCTAAAATTTGTTGGGTGGCAACTGCACATGGGACACCGACTAATTTAGCCATCGAGGAATAACCATCTGGATTACCGTAGTCAACAAGAGTGGAAGTTCTAACTTCGGTTTCACCATTGGCCCATTCGATACCAAACTTATGTTGTAAGACAACCAAATCTCTTTCTCCCTTTTCATATTGCATCTTTTCTTCTAAAGTAGCACATAAAGTATCTAATGGGTTACCTCTTGGAGTGGTTTGTTTGTCAGAGAATAAACCTAACCATTTAAAACCAGACAAAATACGTTCTTTGTCTTCTTCACTCTTGAAGGTACCAATTTCAGAGATCTTAGCAACTAAATCTTTTTCTTCTGAAGATTTAGCACCAATTTGAGCAGCCAAAGCATTTTTCCAAGCTGTTGGCTTACTGAAGATAGGGGATTCATCTTCCTTTAAGAATCCAAGGTCGACTAAAACCTTAACAAATTCAGGGAAACCTTGGAATCTTAAAGTTCCTCTGATGACGGTTTCAGCTTCAGGAATGCTATACAATTCCTTGTAAGTGGTGGAATCTCTGTTTGGGTAACAAACGAAAGCAAATCCCGGGTAGATGAAGTATGGTTTAGCAGTAGCCATTAAATCTTCAGACTTAACGTCGACAACCTTACCATCTTTCCAGTATTTAGCAAAGTTTCTTAAGGCTAATAAAACACCTCTAGAAGACCAAGAAAACTTATAACCTAAAGGATTATCAGAATCTTCTGGGGATGGTAAACCACCACAGTAACTTAAGAAAGACTTAATCTTACCGTTCTGTTGGTGAACTTCTTCAATAGTCTTGACGGCATACAAGTGATCGATACCTGGGTCTAAACCAATTTCATTCATAACTGTAATACCGGCATCTTTAATTTGTTGTTCTAATTCTCTTAATTGAGGGTTAATGTAAGAGGTAGTAACAACGTGCTTCTTGTTCTTAATTGCTGACTTAACAACGTTGACATGGAAAGTGTATGGAATTAAAGAAATAACTAAGTCAACCTTTGCAACTTCAGCATCAAGGCTCTTTTCATCAGTAACATCTAATGAGATAGCATCGGCAACATCACCAGCCAATTCCTTAGCCTTAGATAAGGTACGGCAAGCAACTGTAACCTTAAAATCTGGAGTTTTAGACAAGATGTCCACAGTTGGTTTGGCAACGAAACCGGATCCTAATAAAAGAATTTGTCTGTCGCCTGTTAGTATATCCCTTGGTTTTATTCATTGAATGCATCAATTACTTACTTAACCATTTTAATGTAATTATATGATTAATTGAAAAGAGAAAATAATAGGTGGCCTGAAAAATTCAACAAATTTATAGCGCAAGTCGGGATTTCAGGTTCATGAGTCACGGTAAATTAAAATACCTTAAATATACCTTAAACAACATCTTTTTTTCTCATTCAAAGCTGTCTGGTAGGATAAGGCACTCCAATTCATCCATGACGCCAATTTTAAGAGGCATTCTACAATAATTTGATAAATGAATTTGAATTAAATAAAACCTATATCGCTTACTTCCTAATTGGGACGTATATAGAAGAATCAAAAAATGTTGCAATTATGAGATTCGCACCATTCTCACAATCTAGTACTGTTGTCACAACCAGTGCTTCATCAAGTACTACTATTGAATTTTTATGAGTGTACGTGACTGCTGAATTAATCTTTATGTATCACTTCAAACTTTTGTTGGGAAATCAGGTTCTTGCTTGAATAATCGTCTGCGTCGTTTACCTCCTCTATTTCGTCATCCGGTGCAACTAATTCTCTATGGAATCTTTCTGGACCGAAGAAAATGGCAATGATCATGAAGGCATACACAGCACCACAAAAAATACCCATAACTTTACCATAATCATATGCATCAGATGTAGGATCATTCTTATCTAATGGGAATCTGGTTCCGATCTGTGCTTCAATAGTAGAAGATGCAGAACTTGCAAGATTACCTAATTGATACACTATTCCACTCAAGAAGACACGGTTGTCTTTATTGACCAATTCCATCAAGTGTAAAGGTGCCACACCCCATGCACCCATTGTTGCAAAACAAAGGAAGAAATAGCCTCCAGTCATGGTATTCAAATCATTGGAAAAGAACGATGGATAAATAAATGCACCACCCATTATGCAGCAAATTATAATAGTAAATCTTCTTCCCAATAACTCTGTCATTTGGCCAAAGAAAAGACCACCGGCCATAGCACCTAAATTAACAACAACCATGAGAACAGTCTTTCTATCAGGTCCTACATCATGTTGCTTTACCAATAAAGTTGGATATAAATCTTGGGAACCGTGGGACATGAAATTGTATCCCGACATTAAGACAACTAAGTAAACAAACATAAGCCACTCTGTTTTGAAAACCAGACTAACCTGACTGTTGAACTTCTTCATCGGGCTGTGATGCTCTAAATCATCCCTAGCTTCTAATCTACGCTTTTGCTTTAATCGTATGAAAGCGGCAGATTCACCATGGCACAATCTCCAACAAATCAAGAGTACTGGTAATCCAGCAGAAAACCAGAATAATGCTCTCCAACCTTCACCCTCTTTATACGTATTTTCAAAAGCTCTGAAGAAAACAACAGCCAATAAATAACCAAAGTTGTATCCAGGCAAAAACAACCCAGACAAGATTGATCTTGCCTTTTCCGGTTGGTCTTCTAAAGCAGTAGCAGCTGCATTACCATACATACCACCCATGGCTACACCAAACAATGCTCTCACTGCCAAAAATTGTTCATATGTCTTAACAAACCCAGTACCAATTTCCAAAATGACGAAAAGAAGACAACAAACTATAAAAGGCCATTTTCTACCGTAATGATCAGATACAACACCAAAAAGAATAGCACCAACAGATCTCAACATTAACACCAATGTTACACCCCAAGTTATATCTTCAATATCAACTCCCAATGTGAGCGCCATTTCTGACGCAGCTGCAGATACACAAAAGAAATCCATAGAATCAACGGTCCATGCAAAAAAACCTAACCCGTAAAAACTCCAGTTAGTTAATGTCATTTCACTTAAACCGGGTACCGGGTTTAATTTTTCCCATACCGGAGTTTTGTCCTTCAACATAGGAATATCGAACAAGGTTGTAGGCCTAGTTTTGAAATAATCTAAGATGGATTCCTTGGATAAATTCGGCTTTCCATCCTCTTTAATGTATTCCGTAGTATTAGTCATTTTCTAAGTGCTGTAACTATCAACTCTACAAATATTCTCATATATCTGGATAACATATCTTACTTAAGTAATTTTTGTAGTAACTCGAAGTTTTCGGCAAAAGGTGATTTTTGTGGGGTAGGTTGGGGGCCTGAAAGCCTGTCATATTATTGCAATAGATCCAAAAAAAATTCAGTTCGTGGATATAGAAAGGATAATCCCAAAAGAATACATCCATCTACCCATATTGTATGCTTGTCGGTAATTCAGGTAATGAATTCGTCCAGAGCCGCTCAATCTGTTGTGGAGTTCAGAAAATAAGAGCTTTTTGATTAGTGACATGCATGTTGATTTGCTTGACATTTTTATGAAGACAGAGCCCGATTGTTCCATCTGCATCTCCTACATACGCCAAGATTTTTGAAATAGGTGCCACACGAAATCGGTGAATAACTCCGCAAATTGAATCATTCACGTATTCCGAATAATATTTGAACAACTTAGCTACACATTCGACAGCCAACTAACAATACGTTGCTTATATGTTGTTTCAAATGTACCGTGCTTGACAAGTTTTATTAAATGTTTTTTGGCACCCTAACTGGACAAAAAAATATTGTGTGTAAAAAACTTCACACACTTAAGAGCATTCAAGACATTCGACATATGCATATCAAGGTATTTAGCGAATGGATTAGGCAGCTGTAACCCAACTAACCTAAGCACACACATTGTAACATTGCTTTTTTCTCAAAGACGATGCAGAAAGCAACACATAAGAAATATTTGGCGGGTGACTCCCCCACGCGAAGATTTTCTTGACACAACAAGTTGCATAAGTTGCATATTGACAAGAAAATGAGAATGGAGATTAACCTCCTTTTCTGGGGTACGCGCCGCCAATGCACATTTAGTATTAGTAAAGTAAGAAATAATAGTCCTCTTACACCCCATGGCATCGTAAGCAAGTATTGGCACTGCAAGTAAAGTTTTAGTGATTTTCTTAGTACTACATTTTGCTTTGTACAATGAGGATAGGGGTATAATGTACGGGGAAGAGAGTGTAAGAATTGTTGAACTATTGACCAAGTTGCTATTGCACACACCCATGTGTAAGCATAATGCTTCGTTTCAAAATTGTATTTGAGACTTTATCAGATTTCAAGTTTATCAAGTTTTGACAAAAAATTTGAACAATTATGCGATACATGTAAAATGATATTTAGTGTAATAGGAATAATTTAGTTAGTTCCTAATATGCTATTGAATAATTTAATCAGGCTCCACTGACTTGTATTATATATCTTTCAAATTCCAGTATATAGGGTCCATAAGGAATACCTCTATTTTATTGAATATTATTTTTGTGACATTTGGGGAGTGTTGCAACTGTGCATATGAACATGTTGCGATAGTTCAAGATATATGTGTTATCGAGTATTGGAGGCCACGCAAAATGCATTGGTCATATATAAAGAACTTTTGGTGACATGTTAATTCCTACAATTACCGGCTAACAGATGAGAATAACATAACTGATAAGAACGGTTTGCTCATTAAAAAAAGCTAGTGCGCTATCAAATAAATTATGAGAAACTATTTTCGAAATCGCTGACAAAATAAAATCGAAGCTATTTATACGTAGATATTCTTTTGATTGATATAGTTTGATTACAGTTTCAATGCCATCTCAAATTTCACAAGAGATCGAGCTTTCAGAAATTGGAAGGAATGGAATTAGTCCCCTGGATGCTAGCACGAATGGCCTTGGTACTCATGGAAATAAGGATGTTATGACCAGGAGAGGTAGAAACGAGTCGATTGATCCGAGTGTGGAACGGGTATATACAGAGGATATGGGCGATTATATTACGGCGGAAGAAACTGTACATTCGGATGATTCTGAAGATCGGCCCCCTGACGGTGGATTTAAAGCTTATTCTGTAATGATAGGTTCATATTTTACGATTTTGACTAATTTAGGTCTTATTAATTCTATTGGTGCTATCCAGGCATACGTGTCTGAGCATCAGTTGTCAGAAATAAGCGCCGTTGACGTGTCATGGATCTTCTCGATTTACCTTTTTCTTGCGTATGGGGTTGGACTTTTCACTGGAAGAACATTTGACAAAAGAGGACCTTTAGTATTGATGGTGATATCTGCGGTATTATTAGTTATGGGATTGTTTGGTGCAGCATACAGTAAGACGGTTTATCAATTTATTTTGAGCTTTATCGCTGTTGGCATTTCGAACGGATTATCGATTACTCCATCGATTGGCGTAATCAATCATTGGTTTTCCAATAAAAAAATTGGCACGATCCAGGGTCTATCGACGAGTGCAGGGTCCCTAGGAGGATTATTGTTTCCGTTATTGTTGAGATATTTATATCCGAACTACGGGTTTTCGATAGCACTTATAATTTTGGGATGCATTTGTCTTGGTTGCATGCTAATTGGAATTGTTTTAGTAAGAGAAAGAGTGAAGAGAAAGGAAACAAATCAAGACTTTTCAACGAGTGAAAGATGTGAAACATTGTCGAAATGGGAAAAGATGAGAGGCGAAGCAAAAGTTTTGAGCTTCAAACATTTAAAAGATACTAAGTATACACTTCTTATTGTCGGTACATTTTTCGCCGAGCTTGCTTTAGTGATGATTATTACCTATTTCGCTACTTATGCAATTGCGCAGGGGGTCTCAGAATCGACTTCTTACGTATTATTAACCGTTTGGAATGCTACGGGTATTTTAGGTAGATTTTTACCAGGCTATGTATCCGATTTCCTTGGAAAGTTCAATGTGAATATCTTAATGCTTATTGGATTTAACATATCTATCTGTGCAATATGGATACCTTTCGGGCATGATTTGAAAGCCTTGTATGCGTTTGCAGCTTTCGGAGGATTTTTCCTGGGTCTGATTTTATCAATGGTTCCTATCTGCTTAGCCCAAGTTAGTTTAGTTGTGGAATTTGGAGAAAGATACGGATTGCTAAATTTCTTTCTTAGTATAGGTAATTTGTTTGGTGTCCCAATCGCTGCTATTATCATAGGGGACGGCAGCGTCCACAATTATAATATGTTTGCAATCTTTACGTGTGTTTGTTCCGTTGTTGGGACTACCTTCTTGTATTTCAGCAGATACTCAATTGTTGGATTTAGATTAAATGTGAAGGTTTAACCAGAATTATGACTATTGAAATCGAGTTATCAGGTACACTGCGATGGTGTTAGACGGTTGAAAATAAACATTTCGGATGAAACTAAAAGTTTGTATTTTAAAATTTATAGAATATATATGAACCATATCTTATCACAACAATAGCAAGGTAAGCTTATGAATGAATGAAGAGAAGTCTACTATATGTTATATCAAGATAAGTTGCAAAATCTGAATCGGTATTATATAATCAGAGCAATCTTCACATGCAAATCTATTGGATCAATAATTTTGGGCATATAATGTACTATTTAAATATGACGAAAGCCCATAAGCTAAACATATTTGATATATTGACAGAAACAATCGTTAATTAGAAATGAATTTTAGTGACGTACAACACTTAGTTGAAAATTTTAGTGATTACATTGTGGTTAATTGTGAAATTAAGTACGCAATTGCATGCATTGCCTTTAATCCTATTTTCTGGAACATCGTTGCAAGAACCGAATACAAAACACATTTCCTTACCAAAATAACTGGATCTGCTAAAGTCGGATGTTATTTGTTGGCATTGACCATTTTTAGTTTAGGGATTTACAGGGATAATGTATACCATCAAGCATTGCTCAACCAACCAACTTACGGTCCTCTTTTGAAGTCCAACTTTGTCAAAGCCTTAGCCATTGGTACGTTTGGCTTTGGAAATATTTTGGTTTTATCATCTATGTATATGTTGGGTGTTACAGGTACATACCTTGGGGATTACTTTGGAATCTTGATGGACGATCGTGTTACAGGATTCCCATTTAACATTAACGACAATCCTATGTATAACGGATCCACGTTATGTTTCTTAGGTACTGCCTTATGGTACGGTAAACCAACCGGTATTGCTATTGCTGGATTTGTATTTGTCATGTACAAGATAGCCTTATTTTTTGAAGAGCCATTTACAGCAAAGATTTACGCCAACAGAGACAAGCAATCCAAGAAAGTACAATAATTGTATATAGAAAATATAGCTGCTGATTGATGTATTGATTATATACTTAGATACCAGTAGTAGATATGCAAAAGTAATTTAAACAAAATCGAATTTATTAGAGATACCATTATCTTCAACACACCGGAGACTCAACGATTGGAACTTTTCTGATTCTTTATGATAATATAAACCACTTATCGAACCGGGTAATTTTGAATTGTGAGTCAAATTAAGAACGATATAATAGAACCCTTCGAATGAGGCACCATTAATCTGTTTGATCCTAGAATCGGGTAGTAAGAACTCCTCTTTCCATCTCATATATATACATTCATCGTTATAATTATAATCATTTTGTATTCTGTGCAATTTTTGTTTTAATTCGAGGTCGTTTAGACCCTTGGAATCTGTCAACTGCTTCCAATGTTCCAAATCATTTTTAATGAACGATCCCCATTGATCATTTTCTGTTATGAAGGAATATCTTTTTATTGTCGTATCGCTTGGCAGCTTCTTAGACCCCGTCTCCCATTTATACTTATTGAACGGATTATTAATTATCTCCCCCTTAAAGAACGTAGTTATCTCGGGATGGTGTTCAGTTAATCCCGATATTTGCAAAAACCCCGTTATTATTGAATTTACCCAATCAACAGTCTTAAACTCTACTTTTATATGATATTTAGCCTTTCCTGATTGTTGTTCTCCTATGAATGTTGTATTGGGTTTAAGATACGAATTTGACATGGCCGGTAACTTATTATACGAGTCAAATCTTGGTCTAAAATAATCAAATTCAATACCTTTATTGCTTGTACTATCATTATTCCTATCACTTAATATTTCTTCAGAGTATGGATATACCTCTGGTTTCCGCTGTAATGGAGTGAAGTTTTCGTTTATCAGGCATGTAAAGTTAAATTCAGAGATCGAATTATTATCATCACTATCGTTATCTCTACTTAAAGATTTTGGGTCTTGAAGTTTATTTGTTTCACTAACAGGCATCTTTATTATAATAGATGCTCCTTATTATTTACTACTTCAAGCTTGTATGATTAAAGAACTACTCTATTTTAGCTAAAAAGTATTACAAAAATTTGTATCATGTTTTATCTAATTGTGATTGTGATCCTTATCTGAGAAATTCGTGAACCATTTTTCTTCATAGTATAAGCCGAATCGGAGGAAAATGGATTCACCACCTACACCATTGCATCCGGCAGCTAATGAAGAAGTGAATGTTATACCAGAAGGTGCATTACCTTCCGGAACTATAGCGAACTTAGATCTAAACCCAGATTTGTATGATGACGAAACGGATGACAATAACATTGATCGTGATGAAAAAGATAACGAAGATGACAAAGATGACATGATAATGAAAAATGACACCAATGCTTACAATATTGGACTGCCGTATGAGCTCGAAACGTTGACTACGCCGTTTGATAAACAATATGAATTATTGAAAGCAGAGTTCGATAAAACAACGAATAATGACGAAATAGCAAAGTACCAGCAAAGCAAGTTAATCAACTATGTAGACGAACAGTTATTGGCGATACAGCGAAAATTCATCAAGAGCCAGGCTGACACTACAGAAGAGTACTCGTTTTTCCAGTTAATCAATGATTTATCGAAGGTATTTAATCTAGTTTGGTACTCTATTAACACCAAGTCAGGGTTATTTGGTCAGCAAGATTATTTAATCAAATTAATGGACGATTTGGAAGACTACGTTGCGCATTACAGACTATTTGAGAACACTGATGACTATGCTACGGTGGAGCTTCAGTTGCTTGAGTATTTTACATTTTTCCAAGAGATTGATTTGCGGATAAGTTTTTTAATTGATGGATTTCCCATGGAAACACCCAATAAAATAGAGAAGCTCAACAACACGCAGATAATACGGTTATCCCCAATTGCATCCAGATTAAGAATATTGATCATATCTAAGTTGGATCCGTTGAGAATGAAATTATCTCGTGAAGAGCTTGCTACTGATCCACAAGACCAACACGAGAATCAAAAAAGCAGAAACCACAGAAGACGTTTACAGAATGTTATAGAAGGAGAACTAGGCAGGGTGTTCGAAGGCATCTTGGATAGGACCTGATTTAAGTGAAGAAATGGGTTTGGCATCTGGAACGTGCACATACCGATACCCGATTTAAAGCGTTTTAATAGTGTAAACGATTTTGTATAGTAAAGTATAACATAGTACTAGTAATAAAGTTATGTGGCCATTTAATTCGAATAATGGTAAGGATACATCCGAAATTGCTGAAGAGCTCCCAGATAATTTAAAGGGTTTTTTTAAAGAAAATAACCCTGATTTAAAACACGAAACTATTTTTGATGTTCCACCACAGCAGAAGAGAGTGAATGAGATCCTACATAAGCATCAGAAGAATAACGAATATTCGTTTGAGTTTGATAAATATAAACGTAGAGAAACTCCCAAGAAAGTCACTTCCATAAATTGTGCCGAGTTACAGCAGAAAGTTATAGAATGTTTCAGAGGATGGACATTTACTCTGACCAACCAATGTTCACAAGAAATTAAAAATAATTCATCCTGTATTGAGATCCAAAATAATGCTTTGAAGAAGTTGTATTATGATGATTGTTATAACATAGACCATTGCACAAAGATAAGGTTTGTGATTGACAAATTATTTATTGACAATTTTGGTCAATATGGGGAGAATATGACCGATGAAAGTAAACATAAGTTCAACGAAGAAATCGATAAAGCATTCTATAAGATTTGGAAATAATACCCAATACATGTAAATAAAGTCTATTAATATATAGCCAAAACCATACTAGTAATTTAATATCTCATGGCTCAAATCGTTCCACAATTGTAATTTTTCATCATATTTCAAACTGGTAACCAATCCAGATGTATTGGGAAAAACATATATATTATGCTTATATCCCAAGATCTCATTTAGCTTCTTCAATATCATATTATAGGGTTCGTCTTCCCCAAGAATCTGCTTTCCCCATTGAAAATTACCTTTCGTCAATTTAATCTTTATGTTCAATAGGTTAGTGATATACTTGACTATGATCTCCCAAATCCCTTTACCAATGAATACTATGAATGTACTTCCACTTTGTCTGAATTCATTAAATAGTCTGGGAACATTTTCTAGCTTTTCACTGAGATTTAATTCTTGTGCTGTCTTGGTACATCTCAATACAAGATCGGTAAACCCGATTTTATACTTGACTATTTCGAAATCATTCACCGGCTTAACAAATGTTTTATATTTATCATCTGAAACAACCTTGATTAATTCTTTTAATAATGGATCCTCTTTAATGGCATCACCTATGGAAATATTTAGCGATTGCAACACATTTATTAGTAACCTTGATTCATTGAATAATTTCCAAAATAAGTTGGTAAAATGAGCATAATGGTGCTGTTGGATCGATGATTGAACTCCTGGATTGAAGCCGATGAACAAAACTTTCAAGCTGTCGTCTAATGAAGGCTGAAGATCTTGGTATTCCTTTTGGATGCTTGATTCTGGGGCAGCTTTCGTTCTCTTCCTCACCTTATCAATTTTTCTTGACACTTTTTTGCCGTCATCGTACTTAAAAGAGTGAATGATGGATTTTAAATTTGTACTCCGATCCATAGCATCTCTAATACCTCTATATATACTCTATAAAGACTGCAAGAAATGGTGCCAAAATACTTCATTCCATCAATAGAGCCATTAATACCGACACCACGTGACTGATGATATGTTGAGTTAAATGTTTATCTGGAGAGAAACCTAAACAAACATATAAACAACGATAGCTATATAATGTCCGATGAGTCTTCGTCGTTTAATCTTTCATTCTTGAGTCCTTCTACTTTTAATAGCGGGTCGACAAGTAGAGGTGAAATAAAGCTGGTCTCAACTCCTATAAATTCAAAACAGAATGCGACCGAATTGTCCCCAGTTGACCTTGACGAAATAACGAAAAACTCGAATCCAAGAACTCCAACTTCCAAGAATGA